CCGTTAGAGCGCCCCCTGCGGGCGCCGGCGCTCGGTGCTGTCGCCGCCGCCGCGACGGGACCGGGGGCGCGTCCCTGGCTGGGAGGGTGATGAGAGCAGAGGGGGAGGAAGGGGACGGTCACCCCCCGCGAGCTGCTGGCCTCACTGAAGACCAATCTAATGAAATAATCCCACAAGTAAAAGTATCTCTCTTCTTGGTGTCTTCTTACCGGTTTCCCCACGCCCACGGAACACCATTTATTTGGAGACGGGTCAGGCAGCTCCAGCAGGAGCTTGCCGATGCTCTCAAAAAGAGCTCCCCGGCAGAAGCTTCACTTGAAGCTGAGCAGCACTACAGCAGGGACCTGCAGGAACACAAACTGCGGTTGCAGAAGGAACTGGACAGGTCTATATCTAAGGTATGGAGAAAGTCAGTCTCTGGTCCCTGGGCAGGGACCCAGGCCTTTTTTGTAGCAAACCAGAGCAGGGAACTGATCCTTTCTTGGGGCTTTTGTGTAACCCAGGGTGGTTCAATGTGTGGCTGGCTGTGAAGAGCACTGCTGCCTTTGGTGCCTGCCTGGTTTTTTGCACCGCTTGAATTAACAGTGGAGGTCTTAGTACACTACACAACTTTGCAACAGGCGTACATTGAGTGACACATAAGGAATTCGCCTTGATTTATAAAGCCTAGTGCCTATGATTAGAAAGGTCACTAACCGTGAAGTCACTTTGTCCCTAATTGGAAAAGGGTGCGTGTATTCCTTTCAAAAAGCTGCTTCTCAAGTTTCATGGAACATGTGTATTTGTTGCTTCTCTTGAGTTTGGCAAAGCAGAGCATGTGCTGATGGAGAAAGAGTAGGCATACTGGAGTGTTACGCTGGTGTCTTTCATGTTCCCTCATCACGTCATTGTTAGGGAGTTGTAAAGTCACTGTAGGAGCAGGAGCAGCTTCTAGCCATGTTGAAGTAGTGAACAAGTGGCTACAAAGAATGTTCAGTCCTTGAGAGAGGAGTGTTGTGGCAGCGTTTAGGAAATGCTGTAGGAAACCAGTGTAGACCAGTATGAAAGGTGAAGAGGAAATACGGGTTTTTGAGAGTCGAAATAGTGTTCCACATCCTCCCCGAGTGATCACCCTTCACATGGGTGAATGTTAATGGATGTCCACGCTACAAAACTAAAATGGCCTTTAGAGAATACCAAAGGTGTTTTCAAAGAGTAAGTTGGACCCGTTCTTTACATAACCGAATGAGTACTGTAAACTCGCCGTAAGGCCAAGGACATAAGCAGCAGTAAGCTCCCTGGTGATGTGTAAGCAGATGAAATGTGGCTGCGTAGCAGTCCATTCAAAGACTATGTAATACCTAAGCACAGCACCTGCAGGGGGGTGACATCTCCAGTGACAGAAGGCACGATACAAGACCAGACTGGTTCTGGCCCTCCCTCCTTCTATCCACCATCAGGTAGCTGCTACACATTACGTAGCTTCTGAACTCCAACACAAGCATTTCTCAGGAAATGCTCAGGATCTCTCCTCTCATTGGTAGCAGACATCACAATACATCCAAGCAAACACAACTGGTTTTGTTCCTGGGTGTCTTGCACTGGCTCCCCCCAATGTGCAGGTGTCAGTGCCAGAAGCACCTGATGAAAGCACAAGGGTCTTCTCTCCATGCAGAAGACTTTCTTTGCAGATCACTGCCCCAGCCACCCTCTGTCCTTTGCCGCAACAATCGAAAAGAGCACAGGAATCAAGTGCAAGGGAATAGTTTCTTTTATGGGGGAAAAAAAAAATAAATCAAAATGAGAACAAAAGAAAAAAAGCACAACAACACATGCTATACTGAAAGAATACTCTGGTTTTGCACAGGCCTTCCCAGTTTGAGCCATCTTACCACCATGCACTGTGCTGCTTCATGCATACCTCCTCCAGCCTCCCCTTCCTCTGCAGAACCCCCGAGGGGATCCCAGCAGCCTTCTCACCACGTGCTACTCAGGACCCCCTGACGGAGGGAGTCCAGCTGCCACAATGGGTCAGTGGAGACTGACTTAGTGCTGCCACCGATGCGGTCCCATACCGGCATTCTATTGCACAGTGGTTTGGCAAGTGTATGTAACATTTCTCAAGAGGCAAAAGCTACAATGAGAAGAGAGACTGTGGTTTGCCTTTCTCTCCCATGCAGTTTGTTCCTGTGGAGTTAACACTGGTTTTGTGAAGTCTGTTGCTCCTTCCCTTCACTGCTGTCCAGGTTAAGACTTCTGAGCCAGTAAGGTTGTTAATTTAATCTTCCCATCCATGGAGGCAGTGAGACAGGTCCCGCAGTCCATGGCTGTGCTCCAATCCACTGTGACAACAGGGGCTCGGTGTCCTCCCAGGGAAAGGCAGCTCTCCAGAACCTTTTCCTCACCATTTAACTAAAAGAAGGAAAGAATAAGATTTTAAGGAGGCAAGTTTCTGCAGTGGGGTTAGTGTACTCACAGATGAAGCCAAAGCCTACTAGACTCTATATCCCTTTCTGCTTAATTATGTGTAGGGAGATTTTGAGATGTATTAGCACACATAAGGAAACGAATTTCCAAGTCTCACAGCAGAAGCACGTGTTCTCAAGCAGCTCAGCTTCCATAATGGAACAAGGCAAGCTAAAAGCACACACTGATGAAGAGCACATAAGTCTTAAGCTGTAGCTCATGTTAATGTGGGTGCTCTGAATGCTCTAGATGCAAAGTAAAAATTCCATCTAATCTGCCTTGCAATGGCTTATACTAATGGGTATTGGCTCGAGAGAAGGCAGGCAAGGGGCATATGATCAGTAACCACTTGTTCCTGCGGCACAGAAATTCGGGTACTTGAACTATTCAGCCTTCCCCTTCATTTCATTTCATTTCAGTACACAGTAAGAGCAGACAATCAGGCTGGAACTAACATCAGCAAGTTCACAAGGCAGATTAAAGATGAGCATCAGCCAAGAGTCACACATTTTGCATTGCACTGGCAGGCATCAATATAATAAAAAACCCTAAAACTTTATCACAGGTACTTGGGCACTACGGAAAGCTGCTGCAGCTAAGCTTTAAGAACAAGGAACACACATCCTCTGGCTACATATAGAGGGCCAAACACTTACAGAGGGCTCAAACACTTGCTAAACACCACATGCTGCTAAAATGCACACTGTATGAAACTGACCAGCAACTTTCACAGAGCGGGGATGGGTAGATGCTGCTTGAGAACTTCCAGTGGCTGCTGTTGCACCTTGTAACAAGAAGAGCTTGTACGGATGCGTCAGAGTGCTCCCCATCACTTCTCGGACTTACCTTAAAAATTACTCCCCCAGTAGAAGAACACGTCAACATATAGTTGCCCTCAGAGTCAAAAGCAAAAAGCTTTCCTCGTGGGAATTGGACTTGCTTGTAGCCGCTGTACCCAGACAGAACAAAAGGACCTGTAGCTTCGCTGGGAAGATCATACTCCGACACCTTCAAGCCACTTTTGTGAATGTTCCACTGAATAAACTAGAATGACAAAAAGAGATGACAAAAGCTCATCGTTAAATTGACTGGGATGAAAGTGGAGGAGCCATTCATCATTTTTAAGGGAAGTAGCTATTGCTCACAAACAGAAGATGGCATTTTGACATCTTTTATCTAAGTGGCTATATTTATAAAATGCAGGCTGCTAAGTCTGTAAGAGTGCCTACTATCCAGGCAAACATATGTCCTACTTTCCACGAGCACTGCTGCCTACATTTCCTTCCACATTGCATGCAGGATCCTGGTGTGAATTCACTTAACTTTCACCAGCCAAGGACCCACACCTTCAGGCAGTCTCCCCCCCCGAGCCACACGTCTAGGTTGAAGACTGTGGAACTGCACAAACTGAAGCCTTTATTATAAGCAACAGGGAGAGGCTGACAAGGAAATTTATGCAAAGTGGTCAAGAATCTGCTCCCTGGGGAAGATTTCAAATGTGGTGATGATCTCAGAGGCACAGAAAGGTCATCTTCACATGGGTTCCCTAGCAAGGGGATGTCACCAACAGTAGGATTTGTAGACAAGGTCCAAGACAGTTCCACCTGTTAACGCATTTTCCAGCCACCCTCTCTGCAGGGACTGCATGCAGCAGGGTGGTGCTGCACACCTAAGACTACAGATAGCAGCCCACAGATCCTCCAGATTCTGAGGGCATTTTTACTGCTACCCCCACCACATAGGGAAGGGATCTCACTGCCAGCTGACCAGTAGGTGGTCACCCAGAGCCTACCTTGCCATCCTCGCCTATGCTGTAGACTGTGTTCTCATCATAGCTGAACTCAACGGAGTAGACTTCCCCATCGTGTGCCTTCCAGCTCATGGCGCACTCGTGCTGCTGCATATCTGAGGGGAGAATCAGCACTCAACACTCTGTACTCGCACGGAGCTGAGCTGAAGAGAGGGAGGTACTTTACATTCACAGGGTCTCTGTCCCAGCCCTCTAAACCAGCCTGGAGGAGCCCAATCCAATCCCAGCACCCTGTGCTAATTCTCCAGTATGTGGTTTTACACAGCCACAAAGATCTTTGCCTGTAACTAGTCACCTCTTCCTCTGGCTTTACAGGGCTGCTTATACCACGCTCACCGTCAACCACAGGCATTCTCCATCCAAGCCCCACTGCCACCTTTCTTCTTCTCCTCCCCTTGCTATCCTGTCCCTCACAGCTGCTGCTGGCTGTCCTCCACAAATCTGGGACTGCAGCCCCCAGCTCAGCACCCAGGCTGTAAGTTTATATCAATTTGATCCTGAGAGCTACTGTGGTGGAGAGAAAACGCCAGAACACCAAGGTGGAAGGTATGTCCCACAGCTGCCTCCCTGCTGGGAGAAAAATGGTGCTAGAGGCAGCCAGCTGGGGGGAGACAGAGACCACCTCACCGCCCAATTTCAACATACCGAAGAGACGAACGATCCCATCTGCAGCCCCAGTGACCAGCAGGTTGCCGTTGTGGTTGAAGGCTGTGCAGTTAATAGCAATGGGCTCAGGCTCCAGGGAGAACTGCAGCTGGAAGGGAAAGTCCACATTAATACTGAGAAACGGAGCAGGGGGTGCTGCTGAAGAGCTGGTCTCCAGGGGAGGGATGAAGTAATAGCAAGAACTCCTCCTCCAGTTTGGAGCCCTACACCTCTCGTGGCTACAGACTTCAAGGCTGGCAGCTGCATTTTATTGTAACACTAAACCAACAATTCACCTCAGCCAAGCCACAGCTTTTTTGACCATTGCCTCAAGCTGCAAAATCAGCTTCTGGCAGGCATTAGCTTGAGTACGCTGCTTTCTCCTGCATGTCAGGGACAGCATTTCTTAAGGGCAAAGGTGAGGGATAGAACAGAATCTGACCTATCTAAATCAAAACAATGGAGAAGATGACACGAGATGAAACCTCTGAAAGAAACACTTCACTTAAAAACAGGGCAGGGGAAATTGCAGCAAAGAAAACCCTTCAGTATAGCATAACTAGAGAAAGCCTGAGCAAAGCATCATTCAATCCACTTGGAGCATTAAATGTCACAAACTCTGCAAAGCTATTTTGAAGAATCCCTCAAAAAAACAAACGCCCACCCAAACCCTGCAGTTACTTACACTATTCATATTTATCCTGCATGGGATAGAGGGGAAAGGGAGAAAGGAGGGGAAAAAAGAAAGGTATTGAAAAGAAAACATAATTTAGAAACAGAAGACACTCATTCTCAGCAAGCAGACTGAGACAGGAAAGAAACCCAGCAAGTACCTGCTGCTTCATTGTCTTAGTGTCCCACAGCAGCAGCTTCCCAGGAACTTGGTTCATGCTTTTGGCCCCAGAGCTGACCGCTGAGAAGTCCATGTGGGAGATGGGGCTCTGTGCTGCCGCAGAACACACAAAGGAGGCCCCACTTGGGCTGCAGGCAAGTGAGAGGATCCTGAAACACAACAAACAGTCTGAATTGCCTCTCTCCATCAACTGCCTCAAGCACAACACTCAATTACAAGCTTTCCCACTAAGACCCTTCAAGACAGGGTGCACTGTAAAGGAGGACAGGATTCATGTGCTTAGACAAATTTTGAGTGTCTCACATTTAACTGCACAGGTTTATGCTGCTCAGACAAGGGACTGCCCTCTGCATGAAGCCCAGGCAGTCCTGCAGTTGCAGTAGGAACATTGAGACTTCACCTACCTTTTCACAGATAAACACAACAACATTTATATTTATATGTAAGAAAAAAATAAATCAGTATTCCAGAGTTACCTGGGCATGTCTTCATCAATGCTGATTTCACAAAGATTCTTCTTCGCTTCTGTGTCGTAAAGACGAACCGTCCCAACCCCACTGCCAAGCAATAGCTTCAAACCAGCAAGGAGGAGATAAAAGCAGAGTGAGTAAAATGATGCTGTCCAACCACCACCAACACCACCATAGAGTAATTTTTTTTTCTATTTATGCATTCAGATTAAACATCGCTCCATTAGGGTATGTCTTGTCTTTCTGTGGACAGCATGCCGAGTAGGACCACCCCAGATCCATAGAAGTCAGAGTGAAAGCATTGCTTTCCAGTGAGAGAAAGATCTGATAGGCACCAAGGTGGAGTAAAAACCTCTTTCTAGAGTATGTCTCAACATTATAGGATGCAAAACATATGTGCAGTCTCAATATTTAGGCGAGCAAGGAAAGAGTAACACAGAATTAAGAATCTAAGACAAAACCAAGTAGAAGCCACCTTCTTTCATCCAGGGGAGAATTAAATCATTCAGAAGGGCTCACACATTCTCCATCAGTGGCACTACTATTTAAAGTCAAAGTAAAAGCATGAAAGGATGCATTTCAAAGCAAATGAAGCAAGCCAGATCCTTCTCACTTCAGAGCCTGATTTGCTGCTGAATCCCCATATATTTCAGAAAGAAGAATCTTTCTAGCAGCAAGCAGGAAATAAACTCCACAAAGCAGAAGAAACATCAGAATGACTGCATGGACAACTTCCTTTTTAAGAGCAAAACAAGAGAAAGAGACAAGCTGTAGCACCAGCTCTTCCCAGGTGGTATTCTGGGTAAGGAGCAACACATCATCAGTGCCAGAGTGTGAACAATATTCCCTCAGTTGCAGGCCTGCCCTCTCACACAGCCCTGTCTCCTCGCCAAGGGAACGAAACACTAGCAACAGTTCTAGGTCTCGGAAGAATGCATATAATTTAAAACTCCTCTCTGGTAACAGAACTGAAGAAAATGTGCTATAGGAAACTATTATGATATTTAAACAAGCCCCATGCTCCACACCACCAACATCCCAACTCATAAGGCAGCAGAGCAGTACAAAACCAGCTATGGAGCCCCTTTCACACCTGCACAAGCAGAATGCCAACAACACATCCCAGCTCCTCAGCCCTGCTCTGCCTTCTCTGCTTCTGGCTCAGGGTGCGAGTAAAGCTCCACAGCTCCCTGCTGCAGGGTGCTCAGGTGAACCAGCTTGCCCCAACCTGCATTTAAAGTGGCTGCCTGCTCTGCCTGGAGAGGGGCACTTCTCTTAAAGGAGATACTTCTATCCTTCAGCCCAACCCACACTGCAGGTTGGGAACTTCTGTCTCAGTGCAACCAGTGGTGAACTCCTTGTTCAATACACAGAGCATGCTCCCCACTCCAGTTTTCCTTAGATCCTGCAGGCTTCAGATCCCCGTGCCCCACTCAAGCAGAAACAAACTGTTGCTCTGATCTTATCCACAATGCTGCTGTCTAGAAGTTAACGTGCAACACAGCCCCATCTCATCTGCTGTGACTCTCGAGCCTCCACACGCAGACTACTCACCAGCCGATCACGCTTCGTGGCCCATTCCAGAGACAGCAATGGAGATTTGGAAATGGATGAAGCTTTAGTTTGCATTATGGGGTTAAAAGACCAGACTTTGATGACCCCGTCCACATCCAAGCTGGCCACCCTCCGTCCAGAACAATCAACCCTGTATGCAGAAGGAAATCAATTAGATATTTTTCTCCCTAAAGTTTTTAGGTACAAGTATATACACCAGCACATACATAGTTCTGGGCCACACACCAGTTCCTTCTGCAAGAATCACAACTTCCTGTTCAGTCCACAATAACCGGCACAATGAAGCAAACCGAGCTCCACATGCAAAGCATAATGCCCTTAAGCAATACTGTCCTGTTTTCCCAGGGAGTTTCCTCCTGGCTGCCATCCCCCAGTCACAAAAATCTCCATCCATTCTCACTGCACAAGGTACAGGCTATTTTTGGTCACACCAACTTAGCCATCCTGCAACTGAGAGTACATGTGCAGGACAGCACAAATGCTGGGAGAAAAAGGCCAGACACAGCTGGTCATCTACAGAGGCTTCTACGAGAAAGCCCTCCTCTGCCAGTCCATTACCTGCAGTACATGATGGATGAATGGTGCTCCCCATACTCCTCCTGACTCAGGACGATGAAAGGCTGCTCCTGCCGGACCCCTGCAGCCTCTGTGCTGCTAGGAGGCATTTTGGTTGAAGCCTCTACTTGCTCAGCATGCAGCTCTGAGCATGGTTCCGTCTCAGCTGTGTTAATATCTGTTTTCTTCTCAGCACTTTGGCCCTGGAGGAAGAAATCCTGTGTGAAATACAAAGAAGCAGCGGCTCCAGGTGAAGCTCTTCAGCCACCCCAGCCTGCTGGGAGAAAAAACCAAGAAGCTGCACTGAAACAGAAGCATTGTCAGCTCAACACTCCTTCTGCCAGGGACCTTTCTGCAACACACAAGGATAGTGTGGCGCACAATTTCACCATTTAATATGGCCTCCTTGGACGTAGAGTCCCTTGTATCCCACTTCACATGCCCAGCCATACATTTTCCTGTAAGAATTAAAGGAATTACTACTGTTTGGCATACCTCAGCTGATGAGAGAGACCTGTTTTGATGCCATTAGAGCACAGATTCACAAGAAAATCAGCATATTTCAAGAAATTCTTGCATTCAGCAATGTAAGTTAAGTCTGTATAATATGCAGTTCAGTAAACCTGCAGAAAAACTCTTGTTGGATGGTAAACCCCAGTGGATGGATTACCCTCCTCTGCCAGAGGTTTAGTCTGTGCACACTGGGTCGGCCTCTGCAGCCAACTGATGACAATGGCAGAGTCAACACGTGAGTCCAAAAGCTTAAAATCCAACTTGACAGGGCGGACAGAACAAATGGAATTTTTGGAGATGAAGGTATCCGAATGAGACAAGATCTGCACTGCAGCACACAGAAGTGTTTGAAAGCAGCATAGCCCTCCCTTGCCACCAGAAGCTGAACATGAAGCAGATATAGCACGTAAACCAATAAAACATCTGCAAGCGTTCCTTTGCTAAACCATCCTCTGAAGATGAAAGGTCCCCAAAACGCTCTTGGTATTGATGGGTTTGAATCCCTGTTCCCTAACACATCCTTGCCTTATTTATAGTAGCTTTCACATCTTAAGCAATGGGTCAAATACTGCATAATCACATCATCTGAAACCATGACGCTGGACAAGACTGAGAAATAAATCATAGAATGCCCCTCTGTGTTAGTTTACGTAGGGAGATAACAACCAACGAATGACACTCGTGAAAGAAACAGTGCTGTCTTTCAGTTTCTTTTTGCTCACATGCTTTGAGAACAACAGCAAGCTAAGTATTATCAGCTTCCCCTAGAGCACCAGAAGCAGCTCTTACAGAGCCAGGAAAACACTGCCTTAACCTGGAACATCACCAAAAAAGGAAAGTCAAAGGATACTTACTGGGAAACTGGGCTTTGCAATTTTCTGACCAATGTTTAATTAAAATGTTTTAGATGCGCCATGAAGAAAAAAGTTCTCTCGCAGCCTTGAATGGTAAGTGGTGAAGTAACATTTCCTATCTAAAGCAGCGCTCCCAAACACAGAACAGCCACACATACGGGCCTGTAGGCAATAGTCCCTCAGCTCTGCCTCTCCCCCACAGCAGAGTGTCTCACACAGCCAAAATAAACACAGCTGAGATGCTGCCATCGTTCCTGTGCCTGCTATCCTCTGACCACGCGCCTGCTGAGAGCCCGACAATGTACAGGTGAACAGAAGCAGTCCTCTGACCTTCAGCAGTTCAAATCCAGGACATAGTTTTATTATTTCATTAGATTAGAAAACAAGGCAAACCCCCAGGCAAAACTGCAACATACAGTGCAAAAAAAAAATTCCAAAAAACAAACATTATTACAAAGGATGTTTCCATTCCTACCCAGGAAAAAGTTTAATTCTTTTTTATCTGTCCCACAACAGAGCCTGCACAAGCCAGCATTAAGAACCCACAGGAGAGAATTCACTTGGGCAGGATGGAGGAGCCAAGCCCATTGCTACTCAGGGACAGAGATTATAATAAGGTATTTGAATATAACCATTAAGGTGGATGAAACACCCTCCCCAGGACCAGGCTGGTGAAAAGATCACAACAAAAACCAACATTTCTTCCATTTGAAACATCAATACTGATTCCCTTCCAGGAACACAGGAATAAACTGAGAGTGGAAGGAGTTGATTAACTACAGAGATTAACCTTTGATACAGTTAGATCAGAGTAGCAATTCAGACGCTTAACAGGAACACTTGCACAACAAACTACAGAAATACCAGCCCTCTGCTTCCCAGCCCTGCAGTGTTGCCCAGTACCTGGAAGGTTCCTTTTGACAGCAGCTCCTTCCTTTCCTTCCCATGCTCCTGCAGGCGCTTCTGCCGCTGCTGCAGGGAGCTGGACTCGCCTGCTATTAACCCACTGAAGTGGCTCTTCCCGTCCTTGGAGCTCCCTGTTCCTTCTTTCCCCTTGGCACTCTGGAAGGCAGAGGAATGATTTGGCAACGTTACACTCGTGTTAGCTAGGCTGCAGAACAAACAGCAGAAGAGGAGGCAAAGAAACCAAGTATTTGCAAGGGCTCCACAAGCCCCCGGACAACAGCAGCTGTTGTGCTGCACTCAGGCCCAGCATACATTTACAAGGAAGGAAAGGACCTTTTATTTTTTCAGGTGGAAGCAAAAGCTTGGAGCAGTGCTGTGCTGGAAGTTAACTCCTTGGATACTGAGCACCTTTCAACAAACACAGATGAGAATTACCTGGTGATTTGTTGGTTCTTTCTTCCCTAGCAGCATACTGCCAGTCTGCGTTGGAGACGCCCCACTTGGATGGGCTGGTCTGGAAGGGCCTTTTTTACTTTGGGAGAGAAAAGAGGACAGAAAGCCTCCTCGGGACTGAAGAGAATGTGCAGTATTCCTCTGGCTGCAGGTCATATCGCTAATTGAAAGAAAACAAAACAAAATAAAACCCTCAAATAAAACCCACCAAAGAATATGAAAGTGTAGCCAGACAACCTGATCAAAGACCACCCAACAAGCAAGTGCCAGCTGTTCAAACCACTGGAGGACAGATGTTCCTTTCCAAACCAACAGACCATTATGCATTAAAAAAAAAAACATTTTAAAACATTCTGTTAGTGCTTGGAGCAGATCATTATAATTACTGTAACCAAAGCTCACTTCTTAAGAGATGCCACTGAGACAGTGGGCCCAGCTGTTGCTGAATCCCCTGTAGGGCCACCTCAAACTCCTCCTACTCCATCTGATTAGTGTAGAAAGACCCTAAGAGATAGGCAGAGGAATTCAGACTTCCAAAGTACCTATTCAGCTGGGATCCCCAATTCAAGACATAAAACAGACCTACTTCAAGAGGCATTCAGTACCCAGCATTTCACTGAAAACCCTGAGATACTCAGAGAGTCATGTTCAGCAATTTTAAAGCACAGGCCCTCAATATCTCAAAAACTGGACCCAAAGAAAACAAGAAAGTTTAGGTCAATTTCTACGATTAAACGCACCTCCCTTCTCAGCCCACAATGCCAAAAGCAGCAGCTGCTTCCCAGAATGTAACTGTCTGACCTCGCTCCCCTGCAGCCTCCTCTGAGAGCAGAGTAGTGTGCAGGGGAAGGGGAACACAATCACCTTCACTGAATCTGAATCTATCCTCTGTCCTAAGAAAGAACCTTTCTACCAAATCCAGGCTTTGGGTTGAACGGAGACTAGAAAATGCACCCAGAACTGGCCCTCCTGTCTAAATAGAAGTGAAAGAAGCACATGAGAAAGTCAAAGCCCCAGCAGTTATTAATACCTTGTGGCTAAGCTACATTTGCTTTCATATCCTTTTAAAGCAAGGGGAGGGAAAATAAATCTCAGTAATACAATGAATTCAAACACACAGACTTGATTTGCATGATTGTGTACTGGGGGAAAAAATGAGAGTTTAAATAAAAATTGAACAAGGTGTATCATTGTGTACGTTGCCCAATTTCTGCAGATATGAATACAATAGCTGTAGCCATAAAACACACTTTAACTGCAGCAAGTTTATGGGGAATTCTGTGCATAACTGAGCCTCGAAGAAGAGAAACTCCCTTTCCCTTGACTTCACAAAAGCAAGAAATATCTCTGCATAACCCTTTGGGTCATGCAGTAACAGTGTCTACAAAATAACACAGGGCACTACAGAAACTAGGAGTCAAGAGACAATCCACTTCATTTGAGCAATACTGCAGAGTACTGCCCTGCTACCAGTGCCCTGGTGGCCCAGAACATCACTTCCATGAGTGCATAGGCTCTCACTGATTGGCAAGAATCTCTCCCCCAAATGGCAGGAGAAATGCCCATCATGAATTCCCCCATTAAGCCTACTTAGGTCACCAGAATTTCTGCCTGGATGTCTTCCTGCATTGATTCCCAGGGCAGGGAAGAAGGAAGTGACCCTGAAAGAGCCTCCCTAACCCAATAAAAACAGCAGAGCCTGTCCCCGGCTCCTCCTCTGCAGGCACTCACAGCTCAGAGTCCCCTAGTCGATCCATGTTGGCCACATATGCAGGCAACTTGTGATGCACAACTGCTTGTTCCACCTCCAGTTCCTCTTTCTTCAAGCGGGAGGATTCAGCCTGCAAAGCAAACAGCTACAAGGAGAGAAGAGAGCCGAGTAAACAGAGGGTCACCCAGATTCACCTCCTTCCCACTTGCTGAAGCTGTTTATTCCTTTTATTTCAACAGCCCGAGAAGGGCGGGGAGGGAAGAAAGCCGCTCTGGCTGGCTGAGCACCACATTAGTCCAAGTAGTCAAAACAATCAGTGCTTTACACACAGGGAAACCGGAGCCTACTTCAAACCCTCCAGCTCCTCTGCTTGGGCTGTTGCTGTAGGAACATTAATGGTGCTGGGAAGTGAGAGCTGGCCAGGGCAGAGGGATCAATCACTCCGTGCAGGCAGTTCAAGGCCAGGGTAATGCATGTGACTGACAGCAGCAACATACGGGTTGCCCAGCCTAGAAGGTAATCTTCTTCCCACAGCCCAGGGTTTGGTGAGCTGGCAGGATGTACTTAGGTCAACGCCATCAGGTCACCCTGAAATCCATCTCCACACCCTGCCCAGCTCCCTCCCAAGCACTACAGCGAGATTTATCTCCATGTTATGGAGAAAGAGACATTTTTTCTTTTTTTTCTTCTCTTCCCTGAGGGGAACTTCAGGATGCAGCTTTCTGTGACGGATGTGGTTTATGCCTGTGACTCTTGTTCATCTGAGGAGTTCCTCAGGCTTTTTTGTTTCCGTACATTTGTTTTTCAGAAGTAATTCTTTTTCCTTTTATCATAGTATTTAAGGAAAGAAATTACAAGAAAAAATGAGCTTTTTGAAATCCAGCTTGCTATTCATGTATTTGCATTGTTTGAGCAGGGAAATCAGAATCACTACTTCATTTGAACTACTATTGAATTCAATATTTATTCAGGCCATTTTTTATTTAAATCTGTATTCTATAGGTAGCTGCTTCCTTTGCTGACCTGAGCAGTTCTCCAAAAAAAGGAAGATCTAGTCTTTACCTCTGCCTATTTGCCAGAGAATGCTTATGCAGCCTGTAAGTGATATCAATCAACATATTACAAACAAAAACCAGTTTTAATTTGACTAAAAGTACAGAATACAAAATTTGAGGAGAGAAAAAAAGCTCTATTTCAAAACTTTAACCTGCTGTCCCTATTTACTGACCATCTTTGCAGAACTCTCCTGTCAACATTTGTCTGATCCACTGACTCCATACAGTCCACTGTGACAAACATCACTTTCCTTTTGCAAAAAAAAAAGCCTCCTTTTTGAAATCAGTTATTCTATTTTTCTTCAACATTTTTAGGACAAATGAACAGCATTGATCAGCTACCAAAACAGTTGAAAGAGGAAGCAAAATATATAATAGAATTTTTGTAACAGGAGGTAAAACACAAAATTTACTTTACTGTTCATATAGAGAGAGCTTTTACTTGGGATGTTTGAGGAAGTGAAACTAAAGTCCTGCTTATGCGAACAAGGCTTCCCACTTGTACATGAACATCCACATGCGATCTGTAGTACTAAAACTCCTATTAGAGAGATTCAGGAAATCCACAGATTATACTTGGAAAGGACCAACCTGTGTTAGATGTTCTTACACCCTTTCTCTAAGCATCTGCTGATGATACTGTAAAAAACAAGAGATGGAGCTGAGCAGCATTTTGTCTGAACTGGTCAGCCCTTCTTACCATTTACTGTAAGGTCTAAAACTGTGAAACAGACATTCACAACATTTCCATTAGTTGATCTAAATTGCTTTAAGTGCATTTCAACCATGATGGAGTAGCAATTTTAGAAGAAACAGTTTCTGCCTCTTTGCCAGAAGTTACTGCCTGCTTCTATTGCTCCATCAGCTAAAATCTGGAAATGACCAAATACTATTCACAAGTTTCCATTCCAAGTAGTTAGCCATATATGCCCTTAACCTGCCACTAGTTTCAGCTTGTCTTGTCTTTGCAGTGTAGCAGGAAGGGAGTTTGCCCAGTATCCAGCCACCTGTCAGACAGCACAAGACAGTCACCTCCAGTGGCAGGACAGTAATACCTTCAACAGACATTTCACAATATGATCACAACCCTAAGTTTGCTGGAGACAGTTGAAAGATAAACCAAAATAACAAAGGACTTACACAAAAATCTGCCCTGGAATAATTGCACTGAACAGTTACAACTTTCTTGAATGGATGGAACCAGTTTTACAAAACTCACAGCCTCAGACTGTCAGCGACTAAAGAGCGACCTCAGTTCTGACCTTATGCCGCAACGATTCATTTTCTTCTTGTATGAGACTGCTCCTGAGACATTCAGCTTCGAAGTTCAAAATGACTGGAACTGGTGAGGGATGTTAAAGAAAACCAAGGCAAGAACTCCCGTGCACCTGCCTTAATTCTAAAATCCAGCACTTCGTACTGGCCATATGCCTGTAGGACAGGCAAAGAAGCATGTTCAAGGCCAGAAGACTAGTAACAGCTTGGTTACCTAAGCCAACTTTGTGCTTTACTGTTGAACAAACTATTTCACATAGGCTCTGCAAGGATTTTTAGATTCTTCCTTTTTACACATCAGAAGTGGAAGACAAGCCAGGTTATGTTGCTGCATCAGCTTACACTGAAGAAACAGCTGAAGATGAGCCATGTTCCAGCTGCAGTAGGAACCTGCCCATCAGCAAACTAACAAGGTCAGAACTCGGCAGCACGGCACAAAAGCTGTTATTTCTGCCAACATTGAACTGCCCTGTTATAGCGCGCTGTCACTAGACCCAGAGAAGGGTCTAACAGGAGATGCTACATCGGTCGTGGACTATCACCCGAGGTTGCCTGCCTGTTTTGTACCATGCCAAGCAAATTGGAAAAGAGTTTCAGAACAAGACACGCACAAAATTTCTAGTCACTGGCATAGGGATGAGTTCAGCATTAGCAGCAACCCACAACTGTTTGTGCCCAGGGAATATAACGTATCATTAGATAATTGAACAATAACTATTCCAACATCCTCTGGTAAACACCAGCTTCCTATTAAGTCTTGGCTCCAAACAACCACCTGAAAGCAGCGAGTTCTGTAATGCTATATTTTTGGCACCACTCTTAACAGTAAGCGTAACACCAGGGTGAGGGAGATTTAACCATTAGTTGCCAAAAAGGATATGCATGCACTGAAATAAGACACTCAGAAAGTTGTGCAGAGACACGATAAAGGTATCTGCCCACTGGCGTGTGAAATAGGTGGCGAAGGTGGGGTTGGAGTCCGGGGCAGGGAGGAAGGGCAGGACAAACCAATCCTTCCACTCTGCCTGGTTCTGGAGCTCGGAGGCCTGCTTGAGGAAAAACTCCTGCGCCTTGTCATTGCGGCCAGTCTGAAACACAGCAAGAAAAACAGGGTTCACACTTCCATTCATGCCACTGCATGGGTTCTAGGAATATTTGCTTTTGTTATGAATGCACTAACAACTACTTTCACCACCCAACAGAGCTGTTGGAGGTAACAGATTCACAGAGGAACAAAAGAATCATAAATGCACTAGGCGAAGCTCACAAATGCACTTAATCCAACCTTCTTTCTAATCACCACAGCCTTCTTTAAAGGCTGAGGCAAATCAAACTTACCACTTACACTGATTTCCAGCTAAAGCAGTGCAGTTTGTGCACTGATATAAGCTGTGTTTTCATATACAGGACCAAAGTACACTTCAAATTACTGAAGACTACAGCAGATGTAGCCTGAAAAGGTTTCCTTCTCATACATTATTCAGGGAGGACCCTGTGCCTCGGGGTAAGCACAGGGAAAAATAAAAAGTCATGCCTCGGGGTAAGCACAGGGAAAAATAAAACATGAAAAAATGCACTTTCAGAAATGTGCATTAGATTTTGACTCCTCCACCAACCTCCATCATTTAAGATTTTCAGTCAGGGAATCAAGAAGGAAACATTGCTTCTAAATGGTAAGAAAGAAAACATGAATTCCTGACAGGTATTTGTCTATTCTGTTTGCCAAAGCCCACCCTATGGAGTATATTCCACTGACTTTCCTAGGGTTTCAACAAGATAGTCTCTGCTCCATTTTAAGCTCGTTATTTTCTGTTCCATTCAAAGCAAACAAAAAACATTCACTGATTTTCTCTCCCACATCACTTTGTACAGATCTGAAGCCCACTTCTCCCCTCTTTTAGAAACTAAAGCTCAACTCCACCAACTTCAAGTCATTCCCTCCTGCCTGAGCTTCCCTACCCTGCTTACAAGCTTGTCATGTGAGTCCACATCAGCCTCCTTGCTACACTCCTGATACGTGACACATGAATTGCTCATTCTTTACCCACCAGGCCCGGCAAGAGGCTCATGAGGGTATTTCATTGCTCCGGTTTTCAGAGACCAGGATCCTTTTTAAAACAGAAGCTTAAAAATCAAACTGCACCTGAACGGTATGGACGAGGTAGTATCGGAATAAGCTGGTTTTCAGCTTGTTCACCGTTGGCCGGTACACGTCCTCCAAACGGCTGAAGAGGCGTCGGTCCAGATAACTCCAGTAATCCCGCAGGGCGGCCAGGTCGTAGCTCTGAACGAACTGCTGCAGCTGGTCCACTATCTTATCCACCTAAAGAGGGCAAAACAGGGATGACTGCAGTCACGTGAAGGCTTTTCCGGCACAAGAGACTTTCTTTAACTTAACGCTGAGAAGCTTTAGCTGCACAAATACTACTACAATCCAGCTCTTAGGCGTTAGGTATTTTCCTAATCTGGGAAACGCTCTGCATTTTCTATCGGCACTCTTCAACTCTGCAGGACCTTTCCAATAAAAAAAAGAAAGAAACAGAGAAAGAACAGAGCCAACAGAGTCGGGGAAAAAAGATCACATTTTGCTAAACACAGCTGGTGGGGGGTTTTTGCAAGTAAGCAAAACTTCCCTCTTCTTTTGCAAGTCAGTTGATAATAAAGAAACAGGAACAATGTGATTAAATGGTGAAAACTCAAGTGAAGCACCTGGAAAATAGTATTATTGTTAGAGTAAAAGGAAGAAATGCATTTAGCCAACAGAAAGAGGAAGAAAGATCCGTTGTACTACAATCTTAAGTACCTTTATTTTTAATAACACCATCTGCTAACAAGGCAGGTACAGAAATATGCAACAATATTTTTTTTTCACATTATGCCTCTTTGAAAATAATTTCTGCAATATGAATAAGGCAAACCGGGGGTGTGAGAATAGGGGTTTTTTTAGTTCAGTTATTTCTGTTGGCCAAGAGAGGCATCAGGGGAGGGAAAAAAATCCACACCCTATACAAAATTCCACTACCAAAGTTGATAACATGTAGTTTGCTCCCCCCTCATCAGTTAACAGTCTTAGAACATCATCCAGCCTCTAATGTGGCTTCTAGAGGGAACAGATGTCCGTGATTCCAGCCGTCGCTTCCTAATTTTGCGTTGGACAGTATTATCCCAGCTAAATCAACTGTTTTCTCATCTCTAAACATTAGCAAAGTGCTGCTGCTTTAAAAACAACAGCAACATGTTTTACGGATCATAAAGGTTGCACTGATGGCTGAAGAAAAATCCGACTGACCAAACCCACTCCATTCGGTGCCCAGCACCGCTGCTAGAGGGACACGCAGCTCGCACAAAGCACTGAAACTCCTGTTTTCGAGGCTGGCAAGTCCCGCACCCGTTTCCCCGCATGTAGCAAGGTGCTCGGGACACCCAGCGCAAGAACAGAGCTGGGAACCCGCCGGATAAACGTCTTCCGACCGACAAGAGATGCAGGCGAAGAGGCGTCCCCCTGCCCCTCTCCTCCGTCCCTCTCGGCAGGGAGCCGAGAACCCGCCGGGGGTTTTACAGGTCGGACGTCGGGTCCGGAGCCGGCGGTTTTGGGAGACGGGCCGAGCCGGGAAGGGCGGCCGGGAATGCGGGAACGGGGACGGAACCCGTCGCCGCTGCCCTGCGCTGCCGCCGCCTGGGAGCGGGGCGGGAGGAGAGCCTGCCACCGGATAGACACCCGCATCCCCCCGCACCGCCCAGGGGCTGCGCGTACGCAAAGGGGGATGCCGGGGGGTCCCGCCTGCGCAGCCGGCCGGGCCCCGGCGCCCAGCCCAGCCCGGGCGGGTCGGGGGCGGCCGCCCCAGGGGCGAGCTGCTTCCCCGGGAACCCGGGGGAGCTCCGGGAGCTGCCCCGCCACCGCCCGGCCCGCTCCCCTCGCCCAGCCCCGGGAGGGGGGGCGCGGAGGGGCGCCCGCGGCCTGCCCAGGGACCGCGTCCTCTCCGGGGGGCACCGGCGCCCAGCGCCCCACCGGGAAGCAGGGGGGACACGGCGGCCGCTCACCCGGAAGCCCTTCTCCCGGTCCGCTTTGATCTCCGCATCCAGTTGCTTCAGAGCGGCGGTAAAGCCACGGAAGAGCAGATACTCCCGCACCAGCTCATCCGTCCGCTCCGCCGCCGCCGCCATGGGGGCCCCGCGGCGCCGCCAGCTCCGCCCGCCCACGGGCGGGGGCGCCCGACCCCGAGCGAAGCGGCCCGGCCCAAAGCCTGGAGAACTACAACTCCCAGTGTGCCTTGCCGCGCCCGCCCAGCGCAAGGAACGCCGGGACTCGCAGTCCCCCGCCGCTGCACATGCGCACCCCGCCGCGAGTTTTCCCGCCTCTTCCTTGCCCCCTCCTCCTTACCTCCCCGCCGGCGCGCACGGCCCGCATTTTTCCCGCCTTCCGATTGGCCGCCGCCGGGTGCCGGCTGCATCCCCATTGGCCCTCCGCCACGTGCGGCTCATGTTGCTGGGCGAGGGGCGCGGCAGCCATGGGAGGGGGCCCGGGCAGGCGGGACGGGACGAGACGGGGCGGGGCGGGGCGGGACCGAGCGAGACCGGATCGAACCGGACCGGGCGGGGTGGGCTCGGCTCGATCGGTCGATCCGCGGAGGCGTCCGGTGTGGGCCTCCACGGACTGGCCTTTCCTCTCCCGGCTGCGGAAGAAACAGTAGGGGCAAGCGTCCTTCCCTCTGGGCTGTACTTGCCGTCGGTAACGGGGCGGGGGGCGTCGGTTCCGTCCCCGTGAAGGGCTTCCCCAGGCCTCGGACTCTTGTCAGGCCGGCGGAGTGGCTGCCAGGGGCCCAGATGGGTGCGGATCTGGGCCCCTCACGCACGTGTGTGTGTGGTGTCGCGTCCTGCTCCCGTGTCACTGTTAATTGGGAAAAAAAACACTGCGGTGGTGTGAAGAAACCTTGTCTGTTGGTAAGGCGGGGAGCTGAGGGGGTCAAGCCCTGGGTAGGTCATGGAAAGGGAGCATCAGGTCATTGTAGGGAAGGGTGCCAGAGGTGGGGGGCTTGGCAGAGCTGTGCTTCATGCCACGAAGTCTTCGTTAGTGGTGGATTAGATTTTAGTCAGTGCTTACGGATGGCATCCCTCAGGCAAGGGGATGATTTCAAACTCCTTAATTTACCTAGGGTAAAAAGAGCTGGAGTGCCCTGGTCTCGGTCACCCTGAACTTTCCCTTTTTGCCTGTCCACTGCAGGATTCCTTTTTCTTCTCTCGCGCATTAATTCAGTATAAACCAACGTTGCGTTGCAGCTTTTGATGGAGACAGCTGGAGGCCGTAGCAAGCCACGTGCCAGAGTGCGTCCCGGTCCCCTGAGGCACCTGCAAGAGGTGGAACTCCGTGTGGCAAAGCCACGCTTGTTACCGGCACGCCGCCGGGCTTCGCTGGCACGGCTCTTCAGGAGCTTGAGGGAAGTGGTTCTGTCCCAGTCACGCTACCCGTCCTCAAAGGTGCGAAGCAGTGACTCTGTTTCTCCATGTCTACACTAATGTGTTTAACCAGGTTTATTAGGGTGACCGCTGTGTCTTTACAGGTGCCAGTGTGTGTGTAATTTCACTGTGTGCAGTTTTCCCCGGATCCCTTTTACTTTAAAGCTGCCCCCTCAGCCTAAGCAAATTGTTCGCTTTGTAGTCTCTGGCTCATGGGTTTATCATGTGCCTTATCCGCCCTTTTCTTACAGGGTTTTTGCAGCTTGTTGATAGCTTTGCGGCTTCTTTATAGTGTTCTGGAAACAAACCAAGGGATCCCATGATGAAGTTATCTTGGTTTCATAGCATTTTGCCATTAACTCAGAATAGTGAGTTCATGGACAGAAGGAATTATAGAGGAGGGAATAATTGATTCAGGCTTATGAGGTGCACTGTGTCTTCAAGACACTCTGGAAAAATAAGTCAGGAAAAAAACAGCCACCAGGACTGTTTATTGGTCTCTACTAAACTAAGAAACTATTTAATCAAAACAAAATTGTTTATAAAGATTAAATTGACCCAAAATGCTACTGAAAAGATGGATATTAGCATGCTCAAGGCAGAGGAATAAACATCAGGAGTCCTTTTATTCCTCAACTCTGCCACCAGTTCATTTAGGTAGATTGATTACTTTCAGTTTTCCAGTTTGTAAAATGGAGAGGGTAATGACTGTTTAGGACAGGAATTGTCCTTGTAAAGGGCTCTGAGGCTCTGAACACGCAAAATACTGCTCTCTGGGGCTTGTGCCTACTGACCCCCATACCTCTCATGCAGTTTGAGGTAAAAGTCTAGTTTGCTGTGTTCTGAACAAGATGCAAGTTATGCTCAGCTCACCCTGATCTCAGAAGCCAAGACTAAACAGATGCTTGTTTTGTCTAGTCTAAAGAGACTGTCCTCGCATACCAATTCTTAAAATTGCTTTTTCATAGTATCATGTCCCCCTGGTGTGACTTTGGGGGGCCAAGGAATTTCAATATCTTCAAGAGCTTAAATATAGAAATTCACTCATAATCCCAGAGCTTTGCGTCTGGCTAAAATATCCAGTGTGAAAGCTCTGCAAGGTAGACATCCTTTCTAAGGTGACTCTGGATAGTCTCACCCATCACATAAATCTTGAAATATTTTTGAGATGTCTATGTTTAAGTGCGTTTGCCGTATGTTCTCAGTTACGCTTTCTATAAATGAAGGAAGGATGTGCAGCAGTGAAGTTATTCCAGTGTATGTCAGTGTAGCTGAGAATAAAACATGGCAAAGGTTTCTCCTAGCAAAATTCTCATGGGAAATGATTAGTAAAGTCTTATTCCTAAAGTTGGTAGACATCCAACAAGACTTCACAGCATAGTATTTCTGGACCTGCTCCAAGAAGAGAACGATCCAAACAAGACCAGTTGCTGATGAAAGAAGATCAGCGTTAAGTAGCAAATGCCTGTGTGAGACTACGTGTTATGTGTACGTATGTATTGCATAATATACATCCAAGTATTTATATTCTCTATTTAAGTTTGCTCTGGTATTAGTTCTTTCCCTTTTTCATATGGATAAGGGTAGCCGGTGACAAAACAGTTGTTCTTGCAGAGACATCAAGATAATGGAAGGTCAAAATTCAGGAAAAGAGAAGGAAACAACCGAGGCGTTTTAAAACATGAATCTAGTCAGAGCAGAGAGCAATCAGTTCTGATTTCTTCTTATGTTTAGTATCAGGTTTTGCGTAGAGCTGAGAAATCTATCCCAAAGCTGGAGCGAACCTTGGGTTCTTTGCTGAAGATGAAAGGTACTGTATGCAAGCATTTGGACAGAGGGTGCCTGGACTTGTTTTTCATTTATTTGTTGAATAGGGATGGATAGGTACGTGGTTCAACCCAATAAAGCATTAGAGCCGACTGTGGCTTCATTTTGTAGCAATAAACAAGAGATAGCAAGAAAGTCTTGACCCACTAAGCGCTGCACCTCAGAAATCCCCCTCTGACTCTCACTTGTTCCTCCCCGGCGCAGGTGAAGGAAGGCAGCAAGTAATTCTCACTGTCCCCTGGCAGCAGGCACTTGAGGCAGAGTGGCCTCATCACCCTGTTGCCCAGTCACCCCCCAGCAGGTGTGGGGCTGGCGTGGGTCACGTTGTGCTTCTCCCGGCCGCAGGGACACAGCACGGTGGGAGTCACAGCCACCAGGAGCACCCAGTGCTGGGAGTTAAGCACAGCCAGGGGGTAAACTCCAGCAGGCTCTGGTGTGAGGTGAAGGAGAAGGACAGAGCAGCTGTGGTGGGTTTCCTAGTGGAGGAAATGGAAGCCTCTGGTTTATTAAGAACACAGTGCAACAAAAATGGGTAAAAGAGGTGCTGTGGTTTTGTTTTCTTTCAACTTGGCAGGTTGTCTTCATGCACTCCTCCGTGACCGCCTGTGACACCATGGGTCACAGAATCATAGAGTGCTTTGGGTTGGAAGGGACCTTAAAGATCATCGAGTTCCAACCCCCCTGCCATGGGCAGGGACACCTCCCACCAGACCAGGTTGCTCCAAGCCCTGTCACACTGGTCTAGCACATGCTGCCAGCAGCTGAGGAGGCTCTGGCTGCAGGGCTTCACACGCTTGCCAGCGTGCCCTCTGGTCACTGACGCTGGCCTCTGCCACCCGTGGCTGCCAGCAGGATGAGGGGCTGATGGGGTAGAGACTTTGGCATATTTTTAGGTCACTTCAAGTGTCCATATTACTCACAGCTAGAAAAAAAAAGCGTTGCTATTCATGCACCTCCGATAATCTGCATCAATTACAAGTCTCAGTGCTTAAAAGGAATAGTCTCCTCTGAACCCACATCCTTGGATAACTCGTAAAAGTCAGTCACTGGTAGAGGAATAGTTTGACAGAGCAAATTTGAAGGGATCACAAGCAGTGAGGCTGGTTGAGGGGAATTCAGCTTCCCCTTCCATTTACTTGCATATATAGGGAATTGATACTGCTTGTGAAACAACAGGTTGGTTGTCAGGGGTTTTTACATGCAATTTGCTCATTATATGGCAATCACAAAATACTGTATTGACTAGTGCTTGCCTGGACTTTGGTTATTGGTTGTTTTCACCATCAATTCTGTCAGATCAATGTTAGGAAGAAGGCATTGATTCCAAGTTCCTCAATGATCATAAACTCCCAATAATGCAGGTTATATTGTAGGAGAGGCAGAAGTTTCTCCTCTCGCATCATTTTTGCCTAATGAAAAGCTGTGGCTCGTGAGGGGCCAGTTGTTGAAATTCCTCTGTTTGGGGCTGAGTGTGAGAGGGAAGCCAGAAGTGCCACTGATGTTACAGTAACCTTTCTGCTGACAACAGAGTCCTTCAGTCTGGAGGATGGGAATCCGTCCGGCTTGGAGGAAGTCAGGGAGGAATATGTCAAGAGGCACTTCAGCAATCACAGGTAAGGGCTTGTACCAATCAAGGAAAGATGTTAATAGTTTGCACTTGCTTCTATCCCAGCACCTCTGAACCTCTTTGTCATTGTTAGTAAATTTCTGAGCAGAGGCCTTTCATCGTGAGGAAAAGGTGAAGGAGGTTTCACCTGGACTCCTGTAACCCCATAAAGTGCATGAACACTCGAGGCATGTTGTTGGTCTCATTTCCAGTCAGTGCTTTTATTTCCTTTCCCTTCTATGTAGCTCATCTCCACCAAGGACTCCTCGTTTGCCTGCAAAGCAAATGGAGGAGGAGAAAGCTGACTTAGGAAGAATGGCCCTGGACTCTGGAGTGACCATGACAAGGGCTTTATTAATCCAGTTAAGAAGTTGTTCACGTGGATTTTTTCCTGTGTGTTCTTCCCAGCACTGCATCAGCCTTGGAAGCTGTGAGTGAGAGTGACTCTACCGTCTGGTATTTGATTCAATGTGAAAAACAAACAATGGAAGAGGACGGGAAGCCAGAATTTATCCAGTCTCCAGACACTTCATCTCCAGATCTGGTGGAATTTGAACGGTAGGTGCAACCCATGTTGCTTTCAGTTTTTTTAATTTGTTTGCATCAACACCATGCATCCAGTTATTCATGCAGCCCTGCTGGAGCCCCCATCTGCCTTGCAGAAGCCTTCTGCCAGCAACTTGGGCCCTGCTGGTGATGAAGCTGAGCACCTCACAAGTCCCTCATCTGCAAATTGCCTGCGAATGGACTCCCAGCTCTGCAGGCCTTGGAAAATCCCTGAGGATTTTCCACCAGTCCTCAAGAAAGAGAAAAGATGTTCTTCTAGGTGTGTCAGTCCCTGCATGGCCACGCTCACCTGATGTCCAGGTGGCTCGTGGAGTAAGATGCACCATAGCTGCTAACAGTAGTGGTCTAACAGGCAAGCTCGGGTGGAATAAGAGGTTCCCCATCCAGAATGATTTATGCAGGTGCATGTCCCTGTGTGTTTGTGGTATCAGTAGCACTACCAAGTTGTATCCCTGCAATGGGGTTAGATTTTAGGAATGTAGGAATTGCTGCACCAGATTAAATTCTCAGAAGTCTAGCTGTTCTGGGGAGGTGCAGGAGCCAGAGGTACGCAGATACTTGACCCAACAGTGATGCTCATCCTGCCTCTAATGGCGTTGTTATGAGGAGCATGAGCACTGTTTTTCCTTCCAGAAATACACCCTTAGCTCCTTGCAGCTTGGAGTACCTTTTTTGTGGGATCAGAGCAGGGTATGGCTGGATGCAACCAGGGAAGATCATGGAGTCCTCAGTCTGCAGGGTGCAAAACAGTGGTCTGGAAAATACCAGAAAGTGCTCCTCAAAATCTCTGCAACGCGGTGGGGAGGAGGGGAACCTAAACTCTTACACTTGGAGCTAGTGGGTACTACCCCTTTAGGATCAGCTCCTAAGTGCCTGGTGCAGGATCTAAAAATCAAAGACAACTGTTCTCGTGTCAGTGTTCTGGGTCCATTTTAATCTGGGATTGTAATGGTAAAATTACCGTTTTTTTTCTTACCGTTTTTTTTCCCAAAGTTATTCATATCTTAAAACTGAGTACATTTATCACATTCTTCCCCTTGCTGTAAAGTAGCACTAGAAGGTCCTTAGGGGTCATGTTTTCTGCTTTTCTGAAAGGATAAATGATCGTTTCGTTATAAAGATTGGAGAAACATACGGATGCCTAATCTATCCTGTCCCATCAGTCACAGTCTATTTTACCCAAACCTTTTGGAGTTAAGAAGATGGGGTGCAGGAGACTCTGCAGCTGCAGTTGGCATCCTCTCCCACAGTGTCACCAGCCTAAACAAAAAGTTCCGCAGTTTCTTCTTCTCTTTTGCTTCGAACTGATGCTAATTTATAGCATTCCCTTGGATTATTGAGCTTTTCATCAGAGTGAGACGGCAGTGGTGCCAGCAGATGGCACCAGCCTCCTGCTGCTCTTCCTGATTATGCTCCTCTGAGACTCGGAGGCAGCTGTAGTAAGGTATCATTTACAAGACCTTGAAATGTGCTGAATCAAGATTTTCTGGGGGAAGTAGGCTCTACTTCATCAAAGACTGCACTACAGAGCCGTAAACTCCTGACTTTCCCCTTCCTCACTGACAAGGTAGACCACGGCCTGTACTGTGTGGACTCTGGCATTTATCCTACAGTCTTCTGGCAGACCACAGTTGGTCCATAGCTGTTTCTTCTCAAAAAAATGGTCCTTTATAACAGGCATAAAACAATAGGGACTCTTGAGCAAAGAAAATAATAGCCTTTTGGTGGTTGTCTAATCATGGTATTTGGGCAGCATCAGAAATGCTTTGAGCTTCAACGGGCGGGGTTTTTTCCATGTCCAGCAACAGGAGCTACAATGGTAGGACTGCACAGTACTTTGGCCAGTGCAAAATGTGGTTGTCTCCTTCCAGCTGGGAAGAAAATAGTTGAGTCATGGTTCAAGCTTAATTTCTTTAGCAAATCAGTCTAATGGTGAATCATATTCTTCTCTCTGAGAAATTCCAGATCCTTTGCTTGGAGCTGGACATCCAGAATCCTTGGTAAGGACAATACTTTACGTGAAAATGCTTATTCCCCTTATGGTACTTTATCTCCAGCAATGGTGGAAAATACTCCAGAGTATGGAAACTGGAGTTTAAATATCTTTATGCTTGTGTGGAGAGTTATCTTAAGATTTTCAATATTGGTTTGCTGGTACAAATATTTAAAAAAAGAAGAAAAAAAAAGACAACTGTTTGAGTTACTTTCTCATGCAATACTGTTCAGTTAATCTGGAAATGTGCTTATTTGGGACATATTCCAAGGAATCATTGTGAGCCCAAACTTAGTAACAATGACTGCTGTTTATAGAACTCTTGGTTTGCACTCTTTTGGTCTTGTTATTTTATTGTGAGAAGCTCTAAACATTTAATTAACCTTCAAATAACCTTCAGTGCTGCTTTCCAGTAGACATTATCCCTGGTTCACTGTGCCACACAGTGCTAACAGAAGAAGTGGGCTCGTTCTGAGATTTAGTCACTGGGTTGAAATTATGGCACTTATATTCTGTTACCAGTTTCACTAGAGGCTGCATAGAAGTCAGGAATGTGTTTCCTCAGATGTAAAGCTGAGGAAATCGAGCTCCCATGCTTATTTAAGTCAGAGCATCCAGGCCTGGGGTGGTCTTTTTCTATCTGTGTGTATAGTACCTAATACATCGGGATATGACCTTAGCCAAGGCTTTTAAACGTAGTGCAATGCCAGTAAAACTATAAAAAGTGACTTGCAGTGTAAAAGCCTCACGATACAAAGGCAAGTAACTCAAAATTTATTGAGTGCCAGAATGAGGTTTGCCTGTGCAACAAGTAGAGCCTGCAGCGCCTGGAGCTTCTGTTGTGAGGCAGTCCTGCTGAGGCTGGGGCTGGAGCCTGCCTTTCCCAGATGAAATCTTGGCAGGACAGAGTTGTTAAAATCTTCAAACAGCATTGGGCAACCTTCAGTAATTGTATGAAGCCTTAGGGGAGGGGAGCCAGTGAAGTAGCTGCGGATCGGAGCTACTCCCCACTCTCCTGCTGATTTACAGTGGAGTGGCTGTCTCATAGCCTGCTCTTAAGAGATGCTCCCTTTCCTTTCATTGCAGATACCTGTATTTTTATAAGCACACAGTGGACCTGCTGATAGAGCATGAAATTGTTTGTACTGAGGAGGTGCCTCTTCCTGAGGTCTCCACAGCGGTTTCCCACCTCTGGCAAGAGCTCTCTGAAGAAAGGAGAGACAGCATCTTGCAGTACTGTAGCCAGAGAGATTTCTTCGAGGACCCTAAGGCTGCTTGCCAAGAGCCGGCGCGCGCTGAAGGTAGTGTGAGGGACAGCCAAGGGAACAGTGAGGAAGCCAGTGGTTCCTCGGCCTCCACACCAGAGGAAGTAAGTGCTGAGTAACACACATCATCTGCCTCTGAAACCCCAAGCCCTCAGTTGTTAGTTGACTCTGCAGCTTTTAATTGGAAGCATGCAGTAGTTGCAATTAAGCTTTCCCAAGACCACTTGAATGCATAAGTGGAGACAATAAGCAGTCTTTGAGTGAATGTCTGCACCGAGTTCTCTCTTGGTAAGGTACACAGCAAGCTATAGGAGTGCTGTCTCCACTGACCTGGAGAGTTTGTGTGCTAAGTAACAGTTAAATTTGCTCTAACTTGCTGCAGGGGGAGGGGGGAAGAACAAGAATTATACAGTTACTGTGCTCTGCAAACTCTCCAAGGAGCACAGATGAGCTATATCCAGAAGAAATACCGAGTTTGCCAAGGCCTGCTGTGTTTTGGGATGGGTGTGGGTTTGGTTTTTTTTTCATCAAAGCACTTGATAGCAAAGAGAAAGATATTTGTAGCCCAGTTCCAGTGATACAGGGCTAATGACTGCCTGTGCCATGCTCCTCTGCAGAGCCAAGAAGTCGTAGACCAGGGCAGTTGGGAAAAAGAGATGAAATAACAGCCAACTCTTTGTAAGCTGTTCCTGGAGCACTGGATTATTTAAGCAACTGGCTGCTCAAAGACATGTGTGTAATTTTATTAGCTGCCAGGGAGGGACAGGTGTCCACCTTAAGCATACAAGTAATTGCTTTGACAAGTTCTTTTTGAGCCTCAGGACACAACTCACGTTGCTGACCTCCTTAGGAAGCGTCCTGGGGATGTGGCATGTACAGTACTTTCTGGCACAGCGTGTGTGAGCTGCATTATGGCAGAGTGAACTCAGGAGCTTATCCGTCTGTCACAGGGAGCATCCAAACTCCTTCCTGAGCCAGGTCGCACACTGAAATCACATGTGGGGAGACTGGCTGTACAGCTGAGATCTCTAGCCATAAGCAGAACAGCCCACAGCCAAGTCTCTAAAGCACTGACACAATCAATGTTTTTTTTTACTGATTTTGGTGGAGATGGAATGTTAGGTCTTAATTCCTAGAGGTTGAAGCACAGGCATAAAGGAATAGACTAACCTTGTGTTCCTAGTCATGAAATAGAGTTATTCCTTATTATTCTTGTCTCCACAAAAGCCTCATGTTTTACTCTAGCTGTAAACATACCTGTTCAATGGAGAGAAAGGAAGGCATACTTTTAAAGACTTAATTATTAAAAAGGATGCCCTAGGTAAAAATTTTAGATGGCTGGATACGTTGACAAGTGAAGTGTTTTCTCTGATAGGTAATGTTTGAAGATGCGTTTGATGTTGCTGCTGGTTTTCTTGACAGAAGTGAGACTCAGGGAATGTCTATCCAGAGGTAAATTACAAAACCACCCGTTGCTGGACAGAATAAGTTAATAGCCCACTGTCAATAGAGTGGCAATAGCCTACCTTCCTTTTTTTTGTGCCTAATTTTTTAGTAAATGGTAAAAATAGCAGCCTCTAGCAAACGTGCTCACAACAAGACTGTCTCTTAAGGTACAAAAGTGAGATGATTAATAGGCGTCTAGGGCAGAATTAGTAATAATCACTTAATAAGAGTACCCCATCACTTCAGGATAATTGGGGCCCTTCTGATTTTCCTCACCACTCTGCATAGCTTTCCATTTTTTTCAAATTACAGTATTTGTAATGTTTTCTTTTTCTCTCCCACTCACCAGGTCTATAAGGACCATAAGGGCATTCCCTGGATAGGTCAGCTAATCATAAATTGTACTCTCGTTTAATGAGACAAATATGATCATTTTTAAACATTGTCTCCCTTGTTTTTTTCAAGTACCCTAATTCAGTCACAAGGAGGTGATCAAGCTAAAGTGTGGTTGACCTGAACAACTATGACAAATGACATGAAAGAAGCACAAGACCTATTTAATAATAACATCTCTTTCCTCTGTAGGTCAGATGAGTAACCTAAAAGAGAACATGTCAGATACAAAGCTGGCACTGCCTTTGATTTTTCCCAGTAGACCAAAGAAAGAAAAGAGTTGCTTTCCTCAAGAGGAAAATCACATTATGACTCATCTTTTATGAATTCTTGCTATTTAGTCTTCCTTAGGATTGTTTCCCTTTGCAAGTAGTGGTTTTAACCGTTTTTTTTTTAAATCCCTTTTCTACTTATTTTTCCATATTTAGAGAGTTCTTTAGTGTGAAACTCTTTCTGTCTTTTATTGCCATTCCACCTTGCACTTCCAGAACAGAATGAATGGAAATCAAGTTGTTTTGGCTGTTGATCAGAATATGCTTGAATATGTAATAGAGCTTAACAAATAGGTTTCCGTTAAATAAGATTTATTAGGTCACAATTGCTGTTTACTTTTAAAATAAGATTAAGTACTCCTTAATACTGCAGTGTATGGCCATCATCTTTGCAATGTGTCTTAGTTCCCAAATTAGATTAGTATTTTAGTAGGCAACGCTTATCCTGTTCCCTTCCTTCCCTGTCACTCTGTGCCTTGTAAATCTGGACAGAGACGTGATGGCAGAACTTTGTAAAATCCCAGGGAGAATATAGAGGTGAGGTCCAGAATGAGTATCTTAGCTTTTTGCCAATGTTATCTGAGTATAAACCTGCCAGTGATAGCTAATATGTCCTTTCATGGCCACATGTTACTGTATTCTCAAGAACTTTACCAAAGAAGTCAAAGCTGTTCTTCTGAAGAACCCTACAGAATACACTACCAAGAAACTATTGTTGCTCTTTGTTATAATGGATATATACTTTTCCCCAAAACAGTGTTACTACAGCTGTTATCTCTCTGAGGATCTCTTTGTTGTGATACTGGTTTCTTGTATTGCTGTTCTCTGTTGTTACATATATTCCTTGCATTTGTTAGACAATATCTTGTCAATACGTCCACCTCCACTCCTCCCTGTCTTGCTTGACAATTGTCTTTAATGTCAAAATCACCTTGAAAAATTTTGAATCTTTGTAGTTCGTAAGTAAAATGTGGAGGAGAGAAAGTAAGTAGGAGGAGAAATGAAGAAACAGAAAATTAAATATAGTGTTTTGTTCCATTTTCAGTTCAGCGTTTGCAAGCTGCACGTCTGAAAATCCAGAGGATCACCACAGACTATATATGCAGATCACTGACTTCCTAAAAAGCCTCTTCTTTGCTAATACAGAGTTTTGCCAGGTAAGCTTTGCCAAAGGATTCCTTATAGAAGGAGCAATTTATTTCTGTCATTGTCAGAAAGGGATTTCTGTTTTCTGCACTTCTGATCATATTGTCCAGATCATTGCAAATAAGAACTTAGGGTTCATCAATTCAGACGTGTCTTTCCAAAAGGTCAGTGGGATTGCCTACGTAAGAAGCAAAGTGTAAGGGGTTATTATTGCTTACAGTATTACTCAAAATGGCAAATGATATGAGGAATTTATTGTTTTTATTGTTTGTATGAAATTTCCATGTGGAAAAGCTTGTGTGATCTCATCTGAGCAGGTGAAACTCACTTTGCAGTTTCTCATTAACCCCCAGGCACTTCATTCTGAGCTCAGTAGGACAGTAGGACCACCTTCTGCTTCTCTGGGTGCTAGGTGCCCTACCCTGAGCCTTCTGCTGGCAGGCCTTAGGAGTAGGATATTTGTGTTCTTGAGAGAGCTGATAAACAGCTGCTGAGCTGCCTCTTAACCTCAGCCTGCTGTTGCAGATTCCCTAAGCCAGAAATTATTGTGTTTGCAGTGTTCTTCCTCCCCGTCTTCCCCTCCCGCCAAGGAGGCGGCTCAGAGCTTGCATGTGGTGGGAGGAGCGAGAGGGAGATGTCCCTCAGCCAGAGCATGCTTGGTTGGGCTCAGAGTCAATGGGACCTCCACAGTAGCCACTGTTTTGCTATTTTCTATCATCTGGCTTCCACCTGGTCTCTGTTACTTGAGCAGATGCTTTGTGATGAGGGGTAATTGGGACAGAAAACAAAGCAGAAATTAGTGTTCCTCCACTACCTGAATCTATCACATAGTGACTGCTGCGTGCCGTTTGGTTCCCCCCATCTCGTGGAGACCGTAGTGCTGGAAGAGGGGCAGGGAGTGGCATCAGGCACAGCAAAAGGCATTAAACAGGAGCTACTAGAGCAGGACTCTTCTGCAAAAAAAGACTGAGGGGTATGGTGAGATAATTTTGATCCTAAGTGGTGTGGACTTGGTACACAGAATGATTATTCGTTGTGTCTTAACACCAGAAGAACTAGAAAGCACTCAATGAAATGAACAACCAACCTATTAAAAAAATACTTGTATGTGCAAATTACCAGATTTAACTCCTGGGGCATAAATTCATTGACAATTACTAAATCTGAGGGTCCAGATACAATTTCCAGCTCAAAAGGTCCTCACAGCAGAGTTTGCCATAATGTGGGAGCATATACTGTGGAATAGAGCACACTGCATGCATAATTCTTGCGCTTTTTGTCTAAACATCTACTCCTGGCTGTTGTCAGAGACCAGGCACTGATCTACACAGCCCTTTAGTCTGTGAATAGCAACGTTCTTCGTACGAGCAGAGCTCTTCCTGTGTTTATGTAAATGACCGTGAACTGAGCATATCTAGAAAAGAAAGAAAAGCTTTAGGCAAGATAGGGTATTTTCCAGTTTTAAATTTCTTTTATGAATGTCATGCCTGGCAGCATTAGGTGGTCCCATTTTGTCCTTCTGCTTGATGATGCATATTTATATGTGAGCCCACATCCATCTCAGCTCCCAGATGAGGTGGTATGAGAAGAGATAGTGTCACTTTAAACAGGGACCACCTTTTTTTCTTTAAAGCTTTGAAGAGGGACATTTGAAATAAGACTAGGAGAATGGGAATGATGGGAGGACAGACAGCAAAAGAAGCTGAAATACTGAAAATGGGCAGTTGACTGAGCTTTGTGGATCCAAAAGGAAATAAAAGGCTGTGCACACTTCTTTTATGCAGGAACTTTGAGTTGTCTGTGATAAGACAATAAAAAAGGAGTTTGAGCAGAAATCACCCAGGCTAGAGAGTACCGATAATGGGAAGGTCACAATCTGCTTTGGGTTAGATAACTGCAGTGCAGCGCATCTAGAGAGTCCTGCCAAGATGAAAAAAAGAAAAAAAAAAAGAATACAACTGACAGTAATTTTTTGTTTTGAGAGCAGAAATTCATCTCTCATCTCAAAGCAAACAGATTGAGACAGTTAGGGAAGTGGTTGCAGAGCAGGGGCCAGGAGATGTTCTAGCTAGCTTGAAACACACCAACTCAGGCAGCAACAGAGAGCTCAGTTTAGGGTACCCATCGTACCCCAGAAATTGGGCTGCTGAGAGCATTGGAGGCTCCTGGACTTGACAGGGAAAGGAGCCCTTCCTCTTTGCCTCATGGTGTGACTCAACCTCTGCAGAACATTCCCCTTCGCTTCACGATGAAGAGTTGGGGTTCAGCCTGGAGAAGACAAGGCTCTGGGGAGACCTTATAGCAGACTTTCAGTACCTAAAGGGGGCCTACAGGAGAGATGGGGAGGGACTCTTTACCAGGTAGTGGAGCGATAGGACAAGGGGTAATGGTTTTAAACTGAAAGAGGGGAGATTTAGATTAGAGATTTGGAAGAAATTCTTTACCGTGAGGGTGGTGAGGCCCAGAGAAGTTGTGGATACCCCATCCCTGGAAGCGTTCAGGACAAGGCTGGATGGGGCTTTGAGCAACCTGGTCTAATGGGAGGTGTCCCTGCCCATGGCAGGGTCAGGGGGAAAGAAGAGGGAGGTTGGAACTAGGTGATCTTTAAGGTCACTTCCAACCTGAACCATTCTATGATTCTATGTAGTACCTGTGCAAGTGCTACAGTTTTGGGAGTTTCGCCAGTGCTGGGATAAATTATCCCAAGGATAAAGTGATGTCCTGGTGCACTGTGCACACACCTTGTAGGAGAGCTGATCAACACCTATAAATACTTAAATGGTGGGTGTCAGGAGGATGGGGCCAGTCTTTTTTTTCAGTGGTGCCCAGTGACAGAACAAGAGGTAACGGGCACAAAATTGAACTTAAGCAGTTCCATCTAAACATGAGGAGGCATTTCTTTACTTTGAGGGTGGCAGAGCACTGGAACAGGCTGCCCGGAGAGGCGGTGGAATCTCCATCTCTGGAGACATTCAAAACCCACATGGACATGTTCCTGTGCAACCTGCTCTAGGTGGACCTGCTCTGGTAGGGGGGTTGGACTAGATAATCTCCAGAGGTCCTTTCCAACCCTATATCATTCATTCTGTGATCCTGAGATAGAGAGGTGGGTGTCAGGTACTATACCAAGGCAAGGCATGCGATGTGTGCCTGACTGAAATGTGAAAGGCAGCCTGCAGTCACCTTTCCTTTCATCTGCAGAGCTGATGAGGTCATTGCTGGTTAACTGTCTGGGTACAAAGTACTGTTGTGGGATTGGGCAGGGTCACCGTTTCGTAGTCACAGATCCACTGAGTGCAGCTCCTCTTGAGGTTGCGCAGGGCACGCACCCCACTGGTATAAAGTGCTTGAGAAAGTCTCAGACAAGAGGAGGGAGGAAATAATTTGGTCAAGAAAAGAGAGGGCTCTTAAAAGGACGGTGACCACAAAATGAGAACAGGATCATGGAAGCTAAGTGGTAGAAAAAGGTTTGTGGGCATGAGAGTAGTTAAGCAGTCGTGTCATTTTTCAAGAGCTATTGTCTTGAGGTCACATCATAAGAGATGCTTAGCTGCAAAGGCAGTAAACAGTTAATTTAGGTTGAGGTCCAAAGGTTTTACAATATCTAAGTGAAAATCAGTGGGTTTTTTTCTAAATAGCACTGAGCACCTTTACGTCTTCAAAAGCACACTTTCTTTTAAAATGACGGATTTTAGATGAGTCACTGGACAAGCAAGTAGGATTTAGTACTCCTTAAGCTATACATTTTTTAAACAGCACCTATTTTTAAAAGCAGCCTTGCCCTAAAGTCTTGCATCAGTGCAGAAGGTGGACTAGATGGACTGCAGGCATGAACACTTTCATCTCCTGGACTTTGATTTCTCAAGAGCCACTTAATTCTCTGTAAGCTGGCGAAGGAGATGACTGTTTCCTTCTCTTCTTGAAAGAGCAGCAAAGCCTAAAGTCAGTAGAAATTTAGGGCTCAAGGAAGCTCTCTCAGGAAGGGCCTGTTCTGTGACTGTGACCCGCTTGCTACCACGGTCAGTAACAGCTGCCTAAATGATGTAAATAGACACAGGGTGGAGCCCTGGGATTTTAGAGAGAAATTGATTGAAAATTTGAGCCACTCTTCATCAGGCACCTCAGGCACTTGAGAAGTGCTGGTTGCTGGTTGAGAGAGGAAGGGGGGGCTCACAGTGCATGAGCTGACACACGCCAGCACTTGATCAACCCATTGTATATTTGACACACGATCAGATCGTGTGATTTTTTTAATCCTTCTTGACTTGGAGCAGGGGGTTGCCTTTCAGGAAGAAGATCTTGCATTCGATTATGAGACTGTGATGCTGAGGTGCACTGAGACCTTCGACGATGAAGATTTCTGAACAGTACCTCTGGTTGCTCATGTTTTGCCAAGTGCTGCTGGACACACCAGGCTTGAAGAGACTGCTCCTCTTTTGGTGAAGCACCTCTCTGAGCAGAGTGCAGAGACACTGTGTTAAAAGTGGTTTGTTACTGTTGACTTTCCATTCCCTCATCAGTGTTTCTTGATATATCAGTTGAGTAATTTATACCTTTAAGAGTTCCAGGTTGTAGATATTTATTAAATCTTAAGAAATACTCTTGTCTATTGGTTTTTAATGTTTAAGCTCACTTCATGAGTAAACTGAGGCACATACAGTTAGGTGATCTTGCCTAGCATAAACTGGTGAAGACCTCCAGAGAGGTCACACCACTAACAGCCTACACACCCCCATATGAAGGAGATCTCAAACTGTAACCTGCAAAAGTCTCAGAGTGCCCTGCAGCCTGGCAGCGATGACTTTCCTCTACAATTTTTCAGCTCAGGCTCACAAGGAAAGAAGGATTTCCTCACAGAGTGAGATGAGGTTCTTCCATCTCTTGGATGACGCCAAGGATGTGTTTTCCCTGGGCAGTGTGGATTTTGGGACATGTCCTGGTTGAAATACATGTACAGAACTTGCAGGGGATCCAAGATCAAATAATTATTTCCTTTAGCTAGTACAACTCATATACATACATAGCTAAAGTAGCAAATGTTTGCATTACATGTTCTGCCTGTGTTTTCTTATTCTGTAGTTTTGTGGGGGGAAATAGGTTAGTTTTTCTCGGTGTAGAGGCTACTTTTTCTACAAGCTTTTAGCTACAGAAATCTTACAGACTTCTCTCATCTCCAGTTCCATTTGCCACACAACATTTGTTCAGGTTTATTTACATTAATTCTTTCACCATGTCCATCTTAATTACTGCATCAGCTGATTTAGTAATTAATTGGTGATACTGGCATGTATTGTAGGACAGCCATGGGAGTAGATAATGTTTAAGGATTAACAACCTTTTCTTATTAGCCTTTCGTCCCCACCCTTTTGAAGGCCAGTACAGGACAGAAGTTAAACAGCAGAGTATTTCCTCTTCAAATGACTTTAAGCCTGCCACCTACCAGAGGAGACAGTTTTGAATGGACACCATAGACTGCGTGGATGCATTCCCTTGACCATCGCATGTCAGAGCTTCTGATGCTTCCACCAGGAGAATTTTAGGTTAAGACTGGCCTGAACATCAACTGTGAAACAACAGGTGCGTTCAGGTAATGTGAAAATAATAACTCCAGAAAAAATCTGGAAAAGGTAGACTAGCAAGGCCCTGGGGGGTGGTGGTGGGGAGGAATTAGTGACAGAAGGTCAGCGGGGTGGGAGGAGGGGAAACATGAAAGCATCAGTGGAAGTGTGGCCGTTGCAGGGGCTTTGGCAGACCAAGCTGAAGAGGGCAGAGCAGCACCAGGTCCATCAATCGCAGCTGTGTGGTAGCATGGCAGCCCCTCACCTTACCACACACAGATCATAACACAGGGCAAACCTACTGCCCAGGGCACGTCTTCTCGTGAGAAAGCTGTGATAATGAGCCTCTGATTAGCTGCTCTAGAGCTAGGGCACCTAGGTACAAACAGCTACCCACCACCTGGGCCAGAACAGCAGGAGCATCTGCCTGGACTTCCCAATTAGCTGCCTGCCTCTCTGCAGAGCTGCAGGGGGGTGTCCCCACACCTGGCTGAGGTCCGTAAGTCTGGCTGCTCTCAGGAGCAGCACAAGGGATAACACAGCTGACAGGTAGCTGGCTGTTCTCCAGGCAATCCGCAACAGCTCTCAAGTGTTTGGTTTTACTCTGGAGGATCCTCTGCTTTCCATTTATTTTCATTAGGTAGCAAGTAAACAGAAGCTGTGTGTGTCGCGGCGGCGCGAAGCCAAAGCTGTTTCCAGACCTCAAGTGGCCACAGGCAGCTGGGAGGAGCAGTGGCCCCCCAGCCTCACCCCTCCTGACTTCGGGTTACAATTTGGCCATGTCCCCCCGAGGCAGATAAAAGGGTAATTTATAAATATGTAACAAACACACCAAAGGGGGGAAATTTAAAGGACGTTTAGGAGCCTGAGCTTGAAATAGGGATGTAAACAGCTTCTGAAAAACTGCCAAGAGGAGACACAGCTGCCCCAGACCAGTATACCCCACACAGCTCTCTGCACCTCCTGGGCCACCAGGTGTGACAGGGTAAGGAATGAGCTGTAGGGTCATGCCCAGCTCTGCTCCAGGGAGCTTGCAAGCCAAAAGCAAGATGGGGACACACAGACAGGACAGCAGGCTGGGCATGCAGGAGGACAACAGTTAAGCAATGTTCCCCATCCTTGGGGTGGGGAAACAAAAAGCCATTTGAAGACTGATCTTTGTAGGAAACCTGTATCAATGTTGGGGTTTTTGAACAAGTCTGAAGCATATACACATTTCTGGCACTTGCCAGCATCATAATGTGTTCTACAAGGAGAAGCAAAAAGATAGGGCTGCAGCCTCCACAGAGCTGACACAAAACCAGTAAAATTACCGAGGGTTCCCTGTTCATGCGTCCCACCTCGCTTTTTCCATGTGAGGATCCCGACTGTACCACTGAAGGAAAAAGTCTCACGTGGAAGCAGAAGCATCTGAAGGGTAGGTTTTGGCCCTCGTGGTGTTGCTGGTGTACCTTGTGCATTAGCTGTGTATCCTGCTCCCATCTAAACCACTCCTCCAGCGTGGTGGGTCTGGCCAGCAGCAGCTTGGCAGACTCACTGCTGGATCCAGGAGCAGGGTGATGACTAACAACTTTCTTCCACGCATGCGCTACAGCACAACTACATTCGAGAGGTCTGATGAGTAAGACCATGGGTTTGGCTGCTGGATCCCCTGGGAGCATCAGCTGGCTCTAAATTAGCTGAGAGATGTAGTCAAGGTTGTGGAGGATGAAGAAGATAGAGCTGAGATGCCTGGGACTAGTCATCTCTGTAAAATCGGGGTGGGGGGAACAGATATACTTAAATGCGCAAATAATTTTTCTCCCAAAGACATAAACCCCACAGTCTTCAGTGAAGGCACCTCAACCTGCCAGCAGCAACAATTCATAGCATATTTTTTCCTCTGTTAAGATCCCAACACTCACACAATTGATCTAAGATGCCAATATGCCCCTAATTGATAAAAACAAGCCACATGACGCTACAGCTGCAGGATGGGACTAAAGAGCAGGACTGTAATAGGCATGAGGAATAAAGGCTTTTCATTGAAACCACCCAAGTTTTGTTCAGTCTTGAGATGGGAGGGTGAGGGGGACATGATATCACAGCCTTCAGCTGTCCAACGGAGGGTACAAAGAAGATGGGGTCAGACTTTTCTCAGAGGGGAACAGTGGCAGGACAAGAGGCAACAGACACAAGGCAAAGCATTAGAAAGTCCAGTTAGACACGAGGGAAAACGCTTTTCACCATGAGGATGGTAAGATACTGGAACAGGCTGCTCCAAGAGGCTATGGCTCTCCAGCTCAGCTGGACACAATCCTCTGCAAGCTGGTCTAACAGGACCTCCAGAGGTCCCTCACAACTGAATTACTCTGATTCTGTGAATACTACCTGCCAGTCACTATGGCAGTCACCCTGAGAAATATTACACTGTACATTTTATTTACTTTTCTCCCAAAATATCTAAGTATAAATCTCAATGCAGGAAACACAAGTTTATGCTACAGCAAGAATGTTATTACACACCACTGGCAACCAGCACCACGTGCAATCACATTACATATGGCCATATAGGTTAAGGCTGTTTCTGCTGATAATGGAAAAGAGCAAGAATCTGCAAACCATTTTCCACAGAAGTGGTTGTCACCTCACCAGGCCAAACAGGCATGGTGAGGGGGGACACAGGACATAGCAGTAGCAGGGATGCATCAGATTGTGAGCAGAAGCATTTTATCCTTCACTTTTGATGATGATTCTTTCATCTTTGTAGGGTTTGGTGCCCTGGGGCAGCTGGCTCCCCTGAGACTGCTCCCAGCACCCCAGCTGGGATTCATTTCAGTGAAGCTGGGTTTTTCTATTAGACCAAGAACCTACATAAGGTCTCTAGATTCCCTCTGTGGTCTAAGGTGGGAGAGGCACATTCAGAAGCCAATCCATGCCATTAACCTTAGATGCCTCTCTTACAACAACATTCATTTGACTGACTTTAAATTATGGGAATATGGAACGAGATGAATCATGACCTAGAGGTCATGAAGCCTACTCCTTTCCCTTGGTCAGGATGAGACATAAAGTACAAGCTGAGAGGTGAGTGTTGCCATTACAGATCTTTAAGGTGGTGGGGATTAGCCTCAGCCCAAGGGATGCCTGGCAGCCATATACAGGGCCCACATGGGGGATGCCTTCTCCTGTGGCCCCTTCAGCAGACAGAATAGGGGACGGGAAGAGCTCTGCTTCAGCTAAACAGCATCTCCTTGGGGTCCCCAAAGCTCAGTGCAAGGAAGGAAACTGCACGTTTCTCCCAGGCATTTCTTGGGCGTTGGTGTTCCCCAAAGAGGGACTGTGTTCTTCCTAGAGGTGGTCAGGCAGGAGCAGAGGGGAGAGAAATGACTCCCTCAGTATCACCAGTGGTGCAGGGGGTAGAGCTGGGAAGAGAAAGACCTTATCATTCTCCTGCTCCAGCCTCTAACAGCTGCCAGCTCACATTCAAATGATGGGGGCTACAGACATGCTTTTCAGGTGAGTTCACCTGCAGGCCAGGTGCTTATATCTTTGTATCGGCACCTATCTCAGTGTCTCTTTCTGAACTTTCTTTAACACCACTTTCCTGTCCAGCAGCCTTCAGTTCATCCATTCTCTTGCCGCCAGGTAGTCTTTTGGGGCAAGCGGGGAGATAGCGAAACCAAGAGACAGCGCAGTATTTGGTGCCTATTCCAAACGGAAGATCATAGACCTTGGAAACCAGCTGAGAGTTGTCCACTTCTCCCTTGTGGCTGTTCTTCCACGCCAGGAGCCCTCGCTCCTCCTGTGTTCCTGCAACAGCAAAAATGAGACTGTTGTGTTTTAACCTGTGGGTGTCTCACACCCACTTCTCAAATCCTAGCAGAGCCAGCCCAACATACAGATCCTTTACACCTAAACCCTTGTAGCTCCAAAGATCTTTACAAAAATTCACTAACAAGCTTCTAGACAATACCCATCTTCTTCCAATGGCTTCCAGATAAGCAGGCTTCTCCACTGCTTTCCGTCAGAATCAAGTATAACTAGACAGGTTTTCATAAGCTGTGGGGCATCCAAGAACTATTCAAAGGAGGGGTGTCATACAGTGCTAGGATATCAAGGCTGGATGTTAACTGCCCAGATACTGCGGATCCAGGGAATAAGGTTTAACTAGCAATTAATAGTTGGTCACAGGTGTTTACCCCAGCCAAGGAATTGCTAAGTGTGTGTAATTGCTGCAGCGGCCGAGTCCCTCTTGGGGAAGGCAGTGAGCAGACCTGTAAATTCTGCCCGGAGGAGCTGAAGATCAAGGGCTACAAGAAAATTAATGAGCCAAAAGGAGATTGGCTTTCCAAGAAGCCTGAGATGGAAAAAGAATATAGTTAACAGAGTGTCCTTCCTGCTCTTCTTCTGTAGCAGAAAAGAAGGTTTCCTCTCCTATTCTTACGCCATCCTTCCCCAGGCTCAATGAAAATCAGAGGCTCTTCACTGTCTGTGAGGACCAACCGCAGGCACTATCTCCTGTCTCTGGTTACCAGCCTTTCTTAGTGCTTTCCACTGCTGGGGCACCAGTTTAGCTGCAGATGTAGGCCTCATAAGGAGGCACACAGTGGCTCCTTGCACTTGTAGCCGCCTTTTTCACTCCTTTCAACCAGCAACATGGCTCTAGGCTGGCATTTTTCCTAACAGACATTTTTCCCAACAGACATTTTTCCCAAATAAACCTTTTCCTTAAACCGGGTTGTTTCTGGAAAATGAGTTAGTTTCTGATAAGCTGCTGTTTTCCCGCCAGAGACCATTTCAGTGATGTCTCCTGTTCCTTACCACTCTCTGGGAGGAGTTCAATCACATGCTGTTTCAAGGTTGCTAGCACAACTCCTACCCATATACCAGTAGTTACGAAGACAAAAAATACTAGGAAACAAACCCCAGAGCAGGCACAAACTAGTTGCTCAGCTCATTTCAGCAAATCCTACCTGGAATGGTGTTATCAAGGAAAAACCCCAGGAGTCCGCCCACAAACATGCCAGTGGTGAGAAGCACCTGGATCACCTGGTCCAGCTGGATGATTCCTAGCAGAAAAACAAAGCTTTGGATAGTGGTGCAGAGAGACGAGTGTTTTGACCAGCAACACACCCAGTGCCAAGAGGCTGCAAGCTGCATGCTTGTTTCGACAAGACTTGCAAATCCCAAAGCAGGGCTTAGGATTAGCAATGCAAGGGAGATTGATCTCGCTGCCACTTTCAGACCTACAGTTTTATTCTGCCTAATTATTCACTGACCCAGCTGCCGGTGAGCAGGAGATGACTCATAAATACATTAAGACCCTATTAACCATGCAGACCACACAGCACTGTCCCAGAAAAAGCTGCGTTCAGCTCTAAACTCTTTCTGCACCTCCACGACATAACACCAAGCAGTTCCCTACAAAACCACGAGCTTCAGTTCCCAAAGAAATACAGGTATAAGGTATATTTAGCATGGGATTTCACCACAAGTTAACCAAGTGTGATGTTTCTCTGTGAGGGCTAATAGATATAAGCAAGCCCAGTGGCACTTAGCATCTGATAGACCATCTATATAGACTCTGTGATTTGTGGGCCCAGCTCTTCCAACAGTTCACCCAGCACACCTTCTATAACTTAAGAGAGGACACTACGGCCATTGTCCCAAACACATTAGTCACACGAGATACAATGAAGGCATAACTGCTGGAGGACTGGAAATGTCAATAAAGTGAACTCGATGGAATTTAGTACAGGAGTCTGCTCTTGCATTTTGGAAGCACAAAGATGTATTGTGTATGAGCACGTAAGCAAGCCTCATTCACCGAGCTCTTGATCAGGATTCAGCCCTGGAGTATCCTCCTGCTCAAAGAACCATCCTGGGAATGCATCCCAAGGACGAGCTCTGCAATCCTTAGCCTGACAGGAATGTGGCGAGATGCAGTCACTGATCAAGAGCAGAGATTTCCACACCAGAGCGCTGCATCACAGCAAAGGGCAAGAACAGCCCTCCCAGAAAGAAATAGGCAACAGTCAAAGCAGAGGTTTCAGGGTTTTACCAGGAAAAACCACATTTTAAAAGATTTCTCTGGATCAGCCTTTGCTCCAGTTTTATGCTACAGAAAATGTTTCTGATATTGTTTCTTACCTGTTTCCAGCAGTGTACTATTTTTGCTTGCCCAGTTGGGAACGGTGAGGCCAGCAAATACAGAAAATCCAAAGATAAAGATGTTTCTGGAGGAGTTCATATCTGTGTACTGCACAGAGAAATCGTATACATTACATTTGCAATTACGTAAATCTGCGGATGACTGTTGTGTTCATGAGACATGCTCAGATGCAGGAGTGAACCCGGGCAGCAGCCCTGGTGCCGCTGGGACATTAGTGATCCTGCTGCCCCCAGTGCCAGCAAGCCCTACCCGACCATGGAGCCCTCTGTGATTTAGCCCCTCTGGTTATGTGGCCCTCATGCCCAAGGAAATGCCAACAAAAATGTTTGCATTTGCTGCAGCATGATTACGTCTGACTGAGCCTGGTAAGAACCTGACTTGAAACCAAAGTCCCCTCCCCTAGGGATGAAACGGCGCTCACACAGCTGTTACCTGCAAATTGGAGATCCCTACTGCCGTGATAACTCCAAACATCACCAGGAACATGCCCCCGATCACGGGGGTGGGTATGCTGGCAAGCATCGCCCCGACCTTCCCGAAGATGCCGCTCAGGAGCATGGCGCAGGCACCGGCAACGATCACCATTCGACTCCCTACCTGGGGCAAGAGGAAGAGGAGGCAGTCACGCACCGACCGGTGCAGAGAGGTGAGGGATGGCAGCCTCCAGGGACAAACTGCCGGGCAGGGGCTGCACCTATGGCCGAAACACTCAATGGCACATTCAGTCGCAGGTTCAGATGCAGCCACCAGTGAGCTGGGATGCTCCCACTGCACAGGAAGCACCAGTATTTGCACACCAGTAAATATTTATCATGAAAGGCACTCTGAGAGCAATCATGGACCCATGCCTATTTACGTGATTTACCCTCCTTCCTGCTGTTGTCAGGACTTTAACAGTTTGCTGTTAAACAAAAAGTTTATTCTTAAATTAAGAGCACAGTAATCCCCGTAAACAGCTTTGCTCTCGCTCCAGCCTAGAAATGTCTTGGCAGACCCACAGGCTGGCCCTGCAACCACCCAGTCAATCCACTGGACAATTCTCCCACTAGGGTTTGGATTGCCATCTAAAAACGGCTTTCAGCCAGGTGTCCCACACCAATTCCTCCATTCCCTGGAGGCCAAGATTTGGGAGAGCAGAGCTGGCCAGGTTGGCTACTTCCATCCCAAGCTCTGGGATCTGATATACCCTTTCTGTGATCAATAAATGGCTAATAAGAAGTGAGGAGGCCTCTTGGTCTGCCCCTGTCTCTTGACACCCATCTAGCTTCAGTAAAACCATTTTCTTCTCATTTTTTTTCCCTAGGAAGAGCCAGGATGGCCTTTTCTTGTTTGGGCACTACAACAAAGATGGGATGAAGCACCAAGCCATGCCTTTCAATCAGATCTGTTAGGAAAAAAAAAAAGAGTATCTGCCAAACAGAAGATGAAAGGGACATTTACAGACTATGGAAACTAAAAAGAAAAGTAGTAATAATTATTAGATTTTCATTTCAAGATACACCTTGCCACACCAAAACTTAAACAGCTTAAAGAATCACGCTAAGATTTACAATGTTCATGTCTTAGGCAGGGAAACTCTGTAATCCTCTGAAAACATTTTATAATTCAATTAAATACTTTAATCCCTCTCTTTAAATATCTGAAGAATGTCATACTTACAGGAAGGGCTTTTTGTGAATGCTTTCAACAAAAACATTCCCAGTAACTAGAAGTGTCTCTTTTTAAGTATTTCTTAAACTTGTCCCTTTAAAATATTTTAAGTTGTATTTGATTGTGAAAGATAAATGGAAAAGATTTGGTGGGGAGTTTCAAAATAAGATCATGCATTGCCTTCAGGTGGGCTTTTTATATTCCTTGGCTTAAAACCTTGGGACACACCATTACCATCAAACCTGTAATTTAATAAAAGCCAACACATCTATTTGTTCCAGAATTAGCATGAAGCTTCAGATTCTTAATTTGCCAAAATGTCGAATTATCCAGTACATGGAGTTGGCCTTAAAGGCAAATCAACTAATCCACTGATACCACAACTGTGAACATATGCTGCTAAAGCCTCTAGTTTAGAGTTTGTTTCAATTATGACAGGAAAACAAGAAAATCAGTTCTCTTTTTTAAGGTCGAAGAAACTGCATGTTTTCCTGCTATGTATATGGGGACTCCGAGGTCTTAACCTCTCCTTAAAATCCTCCTCTTCTTTTCCTGGAAGTGAGGGCTCAGTACTGGCATGCTGGGCTTGATCAACCATCTTAAACATAGGTGCCTGGTGCCTTTTCAGATACTGTATCTTGCCAGCTTCCAGCAGCTTCTCCTTTGCCTTATCTGACAGCCCCTGTGGATTTGTGAGGTCTCCAAAGATGTTTCAGGTGGTGCTGGACACCTCTGTTTAAGCTGAGGAAACAAGTCCCTTGCGAAATTTGTCTTGTGCTCTCAGCATCCCCATCTATCCCAGCCAGAGTCTTTACACTGATTTAAGGTTGAGAAAGATAAGACCATATTTTCTCCTCTCTTAAGTGTGAACATGGTGAGCAGAGGTAGGATCTAAGGGAAACATCTCTCCTGAATCAGCAAAGATGGCATGTCCACCTGAAGGAGTCAGCGTACATGGGGAGAACACATCCTGTAATCTGATAATTATGAGTCTGTGCGTTTCTGAGCTGTTACATCCCACACGCCCAATGTATGCAGCAAACTGCAGGTCAGGAAAGAACGGGCTCAGGTATATGGTCTGTATGCACAGATTTCATAGTGACAAGGTACACATGGAGACAGGCTAAACTGGACTCCATGAAGACATCCAGACAGCCCTTGCTGCTGGAAGCAGCCACCTTGGTCAAACACTAACGCTTCAGTCTGTGAAAAAAATGGTTATTATGAGTGAGGTTTGTAAAATCCAGTTAAATAAGCAGTATCATAGAGTGGGAGCCATAAGTCAAATTCTGCATTTGTTTACTGGCTCTCAGCTCTGCTGACATGACATTGCTTATTTGACAATGATTTAAAAATGTTTTCCAGTTGGCTGCTGGATGTACCCGTCCACTGGCTGTAAAGCTCAGTGAAAATCTCTGATCTGATTGTCAAGCTTATCTCTGGAAATTTCTTCCCCATATAAGAGCAGTAAAATACTCAAGGGATTCACAAAACTTTATAGAGGGGTAAAAACATAAAACTTTGCCATCACATTTTATAATCCTAAACACATCATCTGTCTTTCACATGATTGCCATTCTGGGGCTATAAAAAATGTGGAATTTGAAGCCCTATTAAATTTTCTCCTTTTCTTTCACCCCTTTGTAAGTATACCCCAGGGGGAAACGTCCGGGAGGACCAGGGCACTGCAGCCACCCCGCTGTGCTGAAGCTCACCTTGGTGATGCCCAGGGCCCCCACGTTCTCGCTGTAGGATGTGGTGCCGTTCCCTGTCCCCCAGGCCCCGGCCAGGAGGCAGCCGATGCCTTCCACCCCGATCCCACGGCTGATGGCATGCTTTGGTGGCGGCGGGGCTCCGGACAGGCGGGCGCAGGCATAATAATCTCCCAAGGATTCCAGCATGGAGGAAATCACCCCGGCTAAGATGCCAAATATCCCAGCCAGGCTGACGGTTGGCACTCCCCACTGGCCTGCAAGTAAAGAGCTCGGTTCAGGTTGGTGGGGCACACATTTGCCCTGAAATCTATTGCAGGGGAGGAAGAACAGCAAGGGTGCTGGTGGGTGTTTGCCTCATTTTTGGCATTTGGGATGGGGAAAGCGGCGGGCAGCGGTACCTGGGTAAGGCAGCCGAAACCAGGGAGCCTGGGTCAAAACGTCCCCACGGGTGTCCGTCCGGGCCTGGTGGCCGTAGGCGGTGGGGTCCACAGGGAGAACGTTGGTCACCGTCAGCACGTAGCAGAGCAGCCAGCTCAGGGAAAGCCCCAGCAGCACCTGCCCATCACATGCAGCAGGGGGTCTGGTTAGAGTATGGCCGGGTCTCCAGCACGGTTATGGGGGACAAGGTGTCTCCCTGCCCAACGCTTTCCCCTGCACATGGAAAGGAGGCAGAGGGAAGGCAGGGGGTCCTGGTGGCCCTTCCTCTTTTGCTCCTTCCCCAGGGCCGTGGGGACCTTCTTCCTGTCTGCTCCCACTATGCACAGGCTGGGTTGGGAAGCACTAACTTGGCTGGACATGAGTGGAAGGAGCCCAGGCAGGTGAGACCAGTCCCTCTGCCACAGTCTCCAGGAACCCCAACGTACCGGGAAGATCTGGAAAATGTAGACCGGGGAGAAGTGGCACTTCTTTCCTCTCTGGTAAGACGGTAGAGGCACAGGGACATCTTTCAGGTACTGAGAGAAGAGAACTATGAAAGCAATAGTCCTAGGAGGAGGAAAAACCAGACCATGAGACAAAGTGGGTGCCCAGCTGCCCACCTGTCTCCACATTAACTGAAGACCTGCTACCCATGGACCCAGGCCTCCAGAGGACCCCAAAAATGGGCTCTCAGCACTGGAGGGTGCCTCCCCACTCCTCAAGCCTGAAGTGGAACAAACTTTCCATCACACTCTACCAATAGCTCCTCTGCATTTGCAAATATTTTTCCCCCTTTTGTCTCAAGGCTGATCCCCCAGACAGTGCATCAGTGAGTATGACCCAGATGCAGGAAGCTTAAAAATGGCACTTGAGTAAAAGAAAGACCTGGGAGACATGCAAGGTCCAGGCAGGCTATGTAGGAAACTGTCCCTGAGCCTCTGTGTAATTCAGATACATTGGAAATACAGGTTTTGTTGGTTTCCTGATTTCAGGTGTTACCTGTGCTGCTCTGCAAGTGGCACAAAGCTCCTAACTGGCAGGAAGTAAAAGAAAGAGGATTTGATTTGACTGTGCAAGTCCCTGTTTTGAGAGAAAAAAAACATGGTGGGATGGTGGGGCTGCATTTGGCACCCACAGAGCCCTCCCAGCCAGCTGAGAAGGGGAGAGCACAGCCCTCGGGTCTGCCAGGGGGGTGGCATTGCGTGGCAGGGGGGTCCTCCAAGGCAGGGGTGATCATGTGTGCCCCTGAGAGCACCCGGGGCTCATTATGGTGGAAGCAACCACAAGGTGCAGCTCCTCTCCCATCCCTCTTGTAGGAGACATCTCCATGAAGGGCAGCACAGCTGGGTATGCTCACTGCAAGCCTTGTCTGCCCCCCACATGTCTTCCCCCCAGAAAGGGCAACCAGATGAAGCGGGAGGCTGCCATGCGTCGAGAGCAGGCAGGGACTCAGCACCCCACCTTGATTGCTGAGCTGAGGGAATACCTTGGATATTTTCTTCCTGTGTTAACCCAGGCCTCTGAAAGGCTCCTCATTTTTTTTATAACAAATCTAAATTGTATACATTGAGCGAATTAATTCAGCTATAATTTGGTAAGGAATCAATTACACCAGCTGAAATGCACTGGTAATGCAGGGAAAACTGGTAGTTCTCTATGCTTGAAAAGGCGATGAGCTATAGGTGCAACACTCACAGGCAGGAAGAGTACCAGCAGTGCAAAGGAAACACCAACCTCACCTCCCCACAAAGACACGCCACGACATGTAGCCAAAGGTTATCTATCAATCATAATGCAAAGCACTGAATGACTGGAGGCAGGAAGTCTGGGGAGGAACTGGTTTCCATTCGTGGTTTCTAAAGCTACAGAGCCCAGACAGACTGCGTCAGCGCACATTTTGTGCATTTGCATTAACAAAGGTGCTCGGCAGCCTTATGAATCACCGCAGAGCCCTCATCTATCTCGGGTAGGTGTCACTGCTTATTATTCAGGTTGTCTGACACATTCCATTAACAAATGCTATTTTCAGCTGCTTATAATTCTGCCTAACTTTACCGATTCCAGATGAAAATTTCCATGGAAAAACCTCTGCCTCAGGCTAAAGCTTTCTGGAAAAATATATCCCAAACCAATTTCAAAGAGCGATGTTCAGGAAATAGACATAGTATATAGCATGCATCGAGAAGGTCATTATGCCTTAAGCAGTAGCAGGGTCTTCTTATGACCTGGAGCAGAAACTTGAGATTTAGTAGAACTTGTTCTTTGGGGTAAAGGATGTAGCTCTTTCTCACAAAAATCTGCTCAGGTATGCTCAGTCAGTAACAATGATAATTTATCCCAGGTCCCAAGCTGTCAGCAGAAACATCTCAGGCTCTAACATTTGCAGGCCATAAAGATCCTGAGCCTTCTGAGTACATCCAAGCCTTGACCAGCAATCAACTGTGTATGCACCACCACCAGGGAGCAAGTGACCATGTACTAGACCAATTTCTTAAGGCAACAGTGGGTATCACCCATCATGGGATGTGGTGGGGCTGAGCAGCCCCATGTCTTCTACATTTTCCATCACCACTCCCCCTCTTTCCCTAATGACACCCATGGAGCGTGGAGAAGGCAGCAAAAGAGGACACAAGTGAGACGGCTCAGAGCACAACGATCAGGCTGGGGCTAAGCTGTCTGAGTCAGGAAAGAAAGGACTGGGATTAGCAAGGGTAGAAGATGGGACAGAAATGAACCAGACAAAAAGGGTGACAGGTTGAGAACAGGGACATGGGCTGGAGGACTGGGACACCATTAATGGGGCAGCACAGTCGGGCAAAGAGGTCAAGGGAGAGTCTGAGGTTAGGAGCCAGTGGCTGAAGAAGGAAGCTAGAAAAAGGAGATAGCCCAGAAAAGGATATACAGTTTGAAGGGAAATTCAGACTGGCTAAGCAAAAGGGTTAGAACCAATCACCAGAACTGGAGAACAGCTGACAAGAGCCAGAGTTGTGCTGGGTGAAACAATGGTGAAAGGAAAGCTGGGTTGCGGGCAGGGTTTGCAGTCACACGGGATGCTGGTAGAAGAGATCAGTAAAGTGAGGAACTGGGGCTGGAGAAGAGAGGTGGGTTTTGGGATCTGGGAGGGCAGGAACAGGAAGGAGATGGACACAAGAGAGAAGTGGACTGGAGCACGTCCCCCCAGCAGCATGCTGCCTTCCTGGGGCTGCAGTCAAGCCTGGCCCCTGAGTCTCCAAAGGCAGCTCTGAAAACACTTGCAAACTGGTGGGAGCCCATAGCAACCTACTCCTGTTCCAAGCTGAAGTCTGCATTAAGGATCTGAAGGTGCCACAGGGGAACCACGCAATGGCATTTCTACTTTTTAAAAATTCATTTCTGAAATACCAAGGCAATTCTGCCACCAAGCACACTCATGGACAAGTGCAGGCACACAAATATCCCTGAAGGAGCTCTCAGTGCTGCAAAGCAACATGCACAGTTGCTTCCAGAGCCCCCCAGACCCTCTGTGGAGAAAACAATTCCTCCTCATGTGAAAACAATACCTAAAGCACCAGCTATTTTAACTTGAGGAATACCTAACTCGGAGTGTTGACCTTTGTCATTTTAGGAATGTCTCTTTAACTTAAAAAATGGGTGTGTAAGACAGTGTGCATAGACAACTGTGATGGAGACTTCCCACGGGAACCACACACGGAAAGACTTGTTTCTCTACTGACCTATGAACTTTGTATTTTTGACAAAAAACAGGGGTCTTTTAACTCATGGAGGGGTTTTGCTTTGCTGCTGAGGGCTCTAACCTCTGGTGGGGCGGTTGGAGGGGAGGTATCAAAACTGTGCCATGCTGCTGCCTTGGACAAACCTGATACACGTTAGTGCTTAATAAATAAACCTGGACCCCAGGGGAGCCCTGCTACAGACTGTGACACTCGATTTCATACTAGAGGTAGGCAGTTTTTGTATGCTCAGCTTTTCCACGGGGAAGTGAGACTTACATGAACGCTATGCCCCAGTGCTGCCCAGCGTCGTCCCCCGCCGAGTCAAAGAGAGGTAGCGCAACCAAGGTGATGGTGGGGGCAATCGTCAGGGGGCCGATGAACCTCATCAGGAATCCGATCAGGCCAGAAAATCCAACAAAGATTTGAAAGCAGGAAGCTACAATGATAGCTCCTTGCACCTGGAGAAATGGAGGAAGAGGTTGAAAGGAGCTCCAGCTGTGGAGCCTTTTCTTAATAAGTCAGTGTGAAACAAGTGTGAGAGCCAAGCTCAGCCTCCAGACCATCACAGAGGCTTCCCACTGACTAGAGCAAAGCCTGGCTGAGCATTATGTGTGGGGAAGGATCACTCAAGTACCAGTACACCAACTCCTCCCTTGGCTGATGGATTTAGTCTTTACTAGAGCTAACTCTGTTCCACAGACCCCCTCATCCCCGTCCTCTTGGGCCACCCAAACGTGCCTCAGCTTCCCTGCACCCTCTCTTCCTGCTTTCCCAAAATGCAGGGGAGAAGCTCTTGCCCCGAAAACAGGAGCAGGGCCATGGTCTCCATTTATCTCCCATCTGGGAAGGGCTTGGGGCACCTCAGCACACTGGGTAGGGCAAGTGGGTCATTACAGCCCTGTTCTTTTCTGAGTATCAGTTTCCCTCCAAGGACACATTTATCACCCTGAACTTCCCTGTGTTTGATAACCACTGCTAAGTAGCCAGCAATTACATCCTGAAATGGGCTTGGCTGCTCACATGGCTCCAGGCAGAGCACTGGGGTCAAGCGTGCTCACTGCTTTCAGAGATTTGGTGATAAACAAGGGCTGGGTCCTCTGTGGTGCTGAGAGGTGCTTTTCCCTCCCACGACTCCAAAGGGAAGAGAAACAGAGGGGCTGGGGTGAAGCACCCAGCCTGAAAGGAGAAGACAACAGTGCCCTTGTGATAGATTTACACGTATCAGTAGGGAAGGCAGCCTGCGCTGCACAGAAAATCCTTCCTGAGCTTGCAAGGCTTCCCAAGTGCTTTGCAAAGCACCCCAAAGAATGGATCAACAGAGGCAAATTTAGCTGCTTACTCTGACAAGGCAATACATGTAGAACAAGGCAGTGGGATCCCTGATCTCTCCTCCTCTCCTCCTCTCTTTTGACTACCTAAGAATGCAATTTTCTTTAACATTTACACTAAGTTCTGCCCTTGCATTTCTTTTTACTAGGTTACCTGTGCTTAGACAGGGTCCCTTCCTTGGAAACATCTTTCCTCCCTTCCTTCCTCAAAGCTAACCATGCTCCATAGAGAAGAGATCTGGCTGAACCAGTGGAGTCTTTGCAGGGACCATAAATCACCTGAGGTCTGCACATCCCCTGTTCAGCAGCAGAGAAGCATCTGCTTTCCTAATGGAGGCTAGATTCTCAGGAAGCTGCAACAGGGCGAGGACCAAGGTCGATTGGAGATGGTGGGTTCCCCAGCGCTGATGGCCCTGACATGGTCAGGTGCTTTTCTGAAAGCAAACAGCCCTAACACAGAGCAGCTGCCACTGAAAATGTAACATACCTCTCGCATGCGTGTCTGCCAGACTTCTATGAACTCTGGTGAAGAGGCATTCACCAGGGTAGCATTCTGTGTCCAGGCAGGGCACTTCCACTTGGGGAGAGAAAGCATGGCCAGGGTTGGGGTCAGGAAAGCAAAAGTGCCTCCTTGAATAATAGGCAACCTGGAAGGAGAGCAGAGGGAAAAGATGATGAGCAAGAATGCTAGAAACCCAGCTCCAGAGGGGTTAGTGAAAGGAAACTGAAATAAATTTAAAAATTGGTCTGTGCGTGGCCTCTGGCAGTATCTTTTGAAATGTTCTGCAGTTCTCCATCACTGACCATGGATAGACATTGCTGCCCATTGCACTCAAGAGCAACATACATGGGAGGAAGAGCTCAGGTTCAAACACTGACAACGGGGAGGCTCATCAATGCTGGAGTCAAACTCTGCTACTCTGCATTAAGGAAAAAGTTGTCCTTCTAAGGTGTGACAAGACCATGGAGCTGCACATAGAAAAACAACAACCAAAGGAAAAAGGTGGAGGAGGAGAGAAGATTTAGGAAGAAAGATGGCAAGACTCTGAAGAAAAGCTCAGCATTGACCTAGGCCCAAATCTTGCCAATATCCAGTTGCTTGCTCTGTCCCCTTCAGCTGCCTCAGTTTTCTTCACAATCTGCTCATGAATACAAGGAGATGCATGGGCTCCTCCCCACACCACAACCATCCTCAGACTGAGGGCAGTGGAAAATGTGACTTGGCTTTTAGTACACTTTTTTAAAGCTAATGACACTGCCCTGTTTCCACCAACACTGGAGAGAGGACTTGCATTGAGAGGGCTGAGCGTGCTGGCTGTGTCACACCTCAGCCCTCCCCTCACAACGCATGTCTCCTGGCTTGGAGTAACCCTCACTCTGCAAAATCCTCAGGCTAGCAAGGAGCTTGCACCTCCAGAGGCACTCAGCCCTGGCTTCATACAGAGCTTTGTACAGTGGAGCCGGTGTTCCTGGGAGCTACACCAGCCTCTTCTCCTTCCACACAGGGAGAAATGGAGACAGAGAAGCCACCACTGGCATTAAGCCCCCATTGCAGTGCAAGCTGTTCTGGCTGCTCCTCTAGCATGCTTGAAAAACCCAAAGCTGCCCGAGGGTGCAGGCTGGCACAGCAGCTCTGAACAAGCTGAGGGAAACCTCAGCTTCTTCCATCTAGAAATCATCCCTGGGAGCAGCCCCCAGAGCAACATCTTCTTGTGCCAGGAGCTCTCATGGCACCTGCTCAGAAAAGCAGCAGGGCAGTAAGCCAGGGGAGTGCTTCGGCAGGGCATGGGTTTCCCTCAAGCAGAGGCATTTCCACCACTCTCTGGAAAGCACTGGAAAATAAGAGATGGCATAGCTGTAACAGCACCACATCTCTGTCACCTAAAATAAATATTTATACCACTGCAATTACTCATTCCATGCGCAACTGAAGCAGCCGGTGCCTTTTCCAGTATGTTATATTTGAATATCAGTCATCCATGGAGTCACTTATTTACAGCACTCAGCCAAACATGTTGCAGCCGTCAAAGGATTTTGCTGGGCAAAGCAAAAAACAAACAAAGAGAAACAGAAAAGGCCCGGTGCCACCACTGTGGAATTAACAATAGATTTATAGCTCCCGCTGCGATGGCCCTCAAGCTATTTCACAGGCAGTGCTGGCATGGGTGGGCTCAGAGCAAGCTGGAGTGCCGAGGCAAGGAACACAGGGCATGCTGAGCTCTTTCTAGGGAAAGCTGCAGGTTTAGAGAAGGAAAAGTTATCCTCTGGTCATCATTACACGATGTCCAAGCATCTTCTAAGGGCAGCTCGCCATAATGGCAAGTAACCTGTGTCTCTCCTCAGGAGCCTCTTTCCAGTGACCGACTGGGACCTGTGGCTGCTTTTTTTGATGCTGTGTAACACAACTGAGCTGCAGGTTGCAGTGGGTCGGGCTTTTCCCTTGGCTACTGCTTCTGGAGAGCTGCTTCTGAAAGGCACTCGCTCTTGGTGGGAACCTCCCCATCCCCATGGCCAGTTCTCATCCATGTTCATGTGCCAGCATTGCCTTTTAGCCAAAATGGTTTCTCCCTGCCTGATCCTGCCCCATTTCTCTCCCAGACCGGTTGCAGGCTGCAGCCGTAACCCCCTGAGCTGCCGCTTTGCCAGGCTAACCAGGCCAACCTCTGTAAGATGTACAGTCTCCCTCCCCATGCCACATTAAGAGAACATCTCCATAGCTCTTCTCCTCTGAATTAGTCTTTCTTAAATATGGATACTGGGGGCTGTGCAGAGCGCTTAGCTGAGGGCTCCCCAGAAAAAGCATCCCCTCCAACTTGTATTTACCACTTTCACAGATGTCTTGTTGGTGACTTATGGTTATCAACTACTACAGGGTTTCAGAAAACAGTAAAAGGAGAAAAAAAAAATCTGCTGCTAACTGTCTCCTCAGGCTTGGTTTGCCTCAGAACACACCACAGGCATCCCTTTTTTCCCCCCGCAGGAATGTCCTCACGCCTTATAGTTGGTGCCAGCAACGAGGCAATTGCGTCCTCAGCACAGCAAAAGCCATTCAAGCTTATCCTACGGGAACAACTCCTTACCACTTAATTTGATTTGTTGTTCCTTATTTAGCTATTCAGCCACAGGAGAGGCTCCCTGCTACTCTTTCATCCTCGGCCCACAGCGAGCAGGGGATGGCACAGCTCAGGTTTTCACCAAGACATTTGGGGGGTGCCTGGGAGGATTCCGGCCTGAATCACACCAGCAGCCACAGCCACGGTCGTGCACCCCAGCCTGAATTTGACCAAGCTGAGAACCAGATTCTCTCTTTTTCATGGCCAGGGTGTCCCACCTCCTCCACTAATCCTATAGCCGTGTAGAAGGGGAACACCCTCTGGAAAGAGGTCTGCCTACAGCCACTTCTTAACTCAGACAGAGATGGAAAAGTTGCACTGGGAAAGAAACAAGAGCAGTAAAAACATTTTGCAGAGCTGGTAGCTGACCAGTGATCTGATGGTAGCAGAGTTTTAACCAGGTCCCTCAGATTTGGAAGCCAAAGAATGTGTGATTTTTACCTTTGTTCCCATCATATTGGAGGAAAAAACAGCTTGTGGAAAGAGAGAGGCAGCCCAGAGTTATGACAAGAGGAATAAAAGAAATTTTGCAAGGTCAGCAAAGATACTGGATCTTTGTGGCAAGGCGGCGTGCCTGCAGTCGTGTCTCTTATTATCACCCTGGAGAAGAGAAGGCTCCTGGGAGACCTTGCGGTGGGCTTCCAGTCCCCAAAGGGGTCCTACAGGAGAGATGGGGAGGGACTCTTTATCAGGGAGTGGAGTAACAGGATGAGGGGTAACAGTTTTAAACTGAAAGAGGGGAGATTTAAATTAGATATTTGGAAGAAATTCTTTACTGTGAGGGTGGTGAGACACTGGAACAGGTTGCTCAGAGAAGCTGCGGATGCCCCATCCCTGGAAGTGTTCACGGCCAGGTTGGATGGGGGTTTGAATAACCTGGTCCAGTAGAAGGTGTCCATCCCCATGGAAATAGATGATCTTTAAGGTCCCTTTCAATTCTAGCCATTTATGATTCTATGACTACTTAATAGTACTTCATTTTCTGGGTAGGGAATGGCAACTCCACACTCATCTCCTCACCACCTGCTCTTCAACAGCTCAGCAGCACAGACTATTTATCTTGCTTACATTCAGATTTTGTCACAAATTCCTGAGCATGGGAAGTGGTGCCGCTTAATGGGATATACTGCAGAGCTCCTCCCTGAGTCCCTAAAGGGTGGCAGATGGGCTCTGTTATCCCCCAATTATCCCCTTCCCCAGAGCTTCCTGCAGGCTCTGTGATCCCTTGATACTGGGCCCATATCAGACAGGTCTTGCCTCTGATGGAGGATCGTTGGGGTAAGGAGCAAGCAGATACTGCTTACTGCATGTTTCAATGCTTTTTTATTTTGTAGGACAGATTCCTTCTAAGCCCAAAGAAAGATGCATCAAGTACCAGGAAATGCAAAACTCAGAACAGCCAGGTAGCCCTGCAAAATTGTCACCTACAGTGATTTCAGGATGCTTTGGCATGTGCCTTGATTGCCCCAGGGTAGCAAATGACCCTCACTGATAGATAAACTCTACAGCAGACTGGTGGCTGAGCACATAATAATTGCATCTGCAAACTGTTTTGTCCTGTGTCCCATTTCTTGCATTTGACCTACCTGACTCCAAAGAGGACTTGTAGCAGGGTGCAGATCCCTGATACAAAGAAGATGGTGCTGATCAGGTGGCTCTGGGTGAGGAGGTCGTGCTGGAGGCAAAGCTCTTTGGAGAGGATCAACGGGATGGCTACCAGACCTCCCATGGCTGTCAGGAAATGCTAGGAGCCACAGAGAAAGATTGGGTGAAGAAGGACACAGAACTGGCTATATATTATTACCCTGTTGTTGAGGGAAATCTAAAAGTTACTTGGCTTTGTGTTTGGGCAGTACGAGTATTACCCACTCTCTTTTTGGCAAATTCAGTGCTCTATTAGGGGCTGTTCCAAAGTACATACAAGAACTGCAATACACCCCCACAAACTTTTGTTTTCCATGCCCAAAGACCTTTTGTAGTGCTCTGGGCTCCCCAGACCACTGTCAGACACAACCAGTTTATCCCCAGCACCTTCAGACAAAGCTGTTGGGGCTACTCTTCAATGAAGGTAGGGACATCCCAAGGTAGGGGGAGAGAGAGATCAGGCAAAGTGAGGCAAATGTTTCAGTCCATCTCATTTGCACCACATAAAAAGCTGGCAAATTGGAGCTACCCATTCTTTGCTATCAGTAGCTTTTCTCACACAGTGCAATTACAGATAACCATAAAAAATGGATGCCAAAGAATGGAAAAATCAGGCATTGCATTTTTCAGAAGTCACAGACATATTTCTACAATGACCTTCAGTTAATTACTAAATGTGAAATGAATTTCTTAAACTTATTTTTGCTTTAAATATTAACCTTAGTTGTTAGTTCTCACCTCAGAGCACAGGACTGCAGCAGGGGAACTGGTGGCACTGAGAAACCCACTGTGCTCATTAATAGTGTATTTTATTAAAACTATGATGTGGATGTGTTTAGAAAACCTTGGTTTAATACACTCTAAATTTGAGATGACTGTTTAAGGAAACAAAGTACAAGATGCCCACCAAGCTCCAAGCACAGTCCATTGTTACCATAACCACTCTGAGCTCTCTCTTCCCTCTGGCTCCATACCCAGAGTGGCATCGGTGGCATTGGGTCATTTGACACACCTGGGCATGGACTCCAGCCAAAGTGTTGGCCCTTTTACTTAGTTTGCATTGCCGTGGGAAGGGAGAGGTTCAGAAGCCCTTAGACATTTGGCTACCTTCAGCTGAGGTATCTGACCTCTTCTTATTAACTATTTGGCCCCAAGCCCGGGACTCTGCCTCCCCATTAGCACTTCAAGGGGCACCGTGTAGCTGTGGGCACAAGGATAATAGTTGGTGTTTGGGAGGCAGTGGGAAGGGCTTGAGTTCACCAAGATCCAGCCCTAAAGCTTCATTTGTACCCTGTGAAGGTGAAGCACTCCCAAATTCAGCTTTCACCCCCATTAACCGGCTGCACTTCCACCCGTCCCCAGCCTCCACCTTCTCCCCCATCCCACCTGAATGCCCAGCAGGATGCACAGGTACCAGGGGGGCACGTCTGTGACGGTGTAGGCAAGCTTGCTGCTGCCATGGCCAGTGCCCCTGCTTTCCTCTGGGCCTTGGGCAGCACGATCCGGCAAGGAGCAGTAGTGGCTTCCATCTTCACCCTGGCAAACAGGAGACACCCTTTGTTAGCCACAGCCTGGACCTGCAGGCACTTAGCAGCTGCCTTTCTTGCAGCTCCACATCTTGCAGGAACACCTTGTATGTAGCTTTCAACAAGGGCAGGATTAAAAAAAAAAAAAAAAAAAAAAAAAACAAGGGGGGAGATTAAAATGGAGGTAAAAACACCTATGGAAAATTTTTATATGCATGTGTGTATCTAGACCAGAAGAGACATGAGAGGGAGTGACATCTGGACAAAGTGTGTTAGTATCATTAATTTCTAGCTCAGTATAGAGAAACTGCAGCCAGAAACAAGAAAGAGCAGTGCAGTGGGTCAATCAGTGGAAGCTAGACTCTGCTCTGGTCTCTGTCCCTCCTGGCTGCCCCACCCAAACAGTGCTTTTGAGAAAATATGCTAAAACAACGTGGTCACCACTAATTACAGAGTAGAACCATGTTTTTTATTTCATTTCTCTAAGTCTTCTCTTTCTGATCTCCTTACACTCATCCTTAACAAACAGTCTGCCTCGATAAACACACCTGCCCTTCGTCTTACAGGAAAACCTTGCTCCTGGAGAGGAACTGCGTGGAACACATGGATATCAGTGGACCGGCACCCATTTCGAAGCAGGACTATGGGGTGCTGCCCCAGCGTGGTCACCTGCCATGGGGAACAGCACCTGGAGGGATGCCCCAGGGGACCAGGAAACAGCCCAGGGATCTGGGGCCTCAGGGATGTGGCAGGGCTTGGAATAGTTCCCCAGGAAGGCTCGGATCCCCTCCCGGGCAGCCAGAAGCTCCAGGGCTCCCCAGGGAGCGGCATGCCTTGCAGAGTTTACTTATACAAAGATGTGTTTTGCCAAGGAAAGCAAAATATTGCTTTGCTTCAGTCATCACAGTTTTTAAGCTAAACAAATGCGTCCCAGTTGTCCGTTCCTCCTTCCAACCCACCCTGCTCCCCAAGCACACACGTGCACACATGCACATACACATTGCCTGGGCACATGGACACCCCATGTGCGTGCACACACACACATCCTGCCTGTGCATACACACACCCCTGCACACACACACACGTGTCATAGAGGGAGGCTGCCTGAGAAGCCATGTTTTCAGCCAAATGCAAAAGCTAATTAAGACCCCAAACCATTTTTTTCATCAATCTTTTTCCAGCCAGTGAGCTCTTGGCACGCCAGCAGCAGAGGGCTTTTCTGGGCTGGGATGCCCTGCTCTGTCGGGCAGGGACAGAAACTTGCTATCAGAAGAAGCTCAACCAGTTTGTCAGCACCAAACTTCTATTTATTTATTTTTTTTCTAAGTCCTGCTGGAACCTGAAGACACCGAGATGCCCAGCAAAGCAAGGTGGCTGCAATAACGTTCATGGTCTACCTAGTGATGGAGGCAGACAGTTAATGCTGCCATCAGGGAATAGGGATGTAAAATTAATGTTACATTCAGTTGTAAATTTTGCAGATGTGGCAGATTAATCCCGAAGGACTCCATCAGTTGCTTGGAACCTCCAGGTTTCCATTCTCATGGCTGAGTCTCCAAAGTCCCACTTTAGATCACACTGTTGAAAATATGCTATGTAATACCTTTTAAACACAGTGTATTTATCCAGCCTAGGCAGGCTGGGAGCATTACAGATACCTCCAAATAGATGGGTGAAGGCAGAGTTAATTCAAACTGAACTCAGGCATGAACTTCAAGAGCAAAAGGCGTTCCTGAATAACTCCCTGTGGAGACATTTTCATTTTAGAACAAGAGAGCCTGAGCCGTGGATTAACTAATGTACAGCAAGGTACTCAAGACTGCCCATGCATGGAGCTATTTGGGGACAGCTACTCCTGAATAACACCACAGGCAGATGAATCCTAAGCAAGGAGGACAGCAGTAAGCTCCCTTTCTTGCTTTGCAACTTTTCCCGTGTTAACTAGAAGGCATATTCCAGCCAGGCAGAGCCTGTGCCAGTAACAGCCCCACATGACCATCACATGAATGCCTGACGCTCCCCAGGAGCTGGAGGGGAGCGAGAAGGGTTCAGCAGGAGAAGGATGGAGTGGAGATAACAGGGTGAGAAAGGACCAGAGGCAACGGGCTCAAACTGAAACGCACGAAGTCCTGTCATAACAAAAGGAAACACTTTTCCACTGTGAGGGTGACAAAAATACTGCACAGGTTGCCCAGGGATGTTGTGGAGTCTCCATTCCTAGAGCTATTAAAAAAAACATCTAGACAGAATCCTGGGAAACTGGCTCTGGGTCACCCTGCTTGAGCAGCGGGGGTTGGACAAGTTGATCTCTGGAGGTCCCTTCTAACTGAGAAGGTGATACTGAGATGCTGGTGGGAGGACAAGGCAGGGGTTTCCTGGAGTGGGAACGGGGAACCACTGGTGGTGGTTCTCAGCCCAGCTGCTCCCATGATCCCAGGGGAACAGCGTGTCCTCTGTGTGCATCAGTCTCCAGACAAAGCATCAGGGCCCTTGACAGCATCTTAAATAAGCACATCAGGAAGATTGTCAGAAACTGAGCCGCTTGAACCACAGGTAAAAGGCCTCTATCTTCTACCTCCTTTGGAGTGATTCAAACCAGAGGAAGCCACAAGCCTGATCTGCATTATGGTACAACAGGTAGAAACAGAGACCGTTAACAATAGCGAAAGAAAACCTCTGCATCACTCCAAGGACCTCCCTGAGGCTCTGCCTGCGGCTAGCACAGCATCCCCACTGCTCACAGTGAGCTCACCAAGAGTTATCTGAGAAATGGGAGACCTGGACACCAAGAAGCTAAATGTCTCCTCCAAGGTTCCCCATGCAGGTTGTCTGTACTGTGGTCCAAAGAGGGATGTCAGGACCCCAACTCTCACACCTACTGTCAGAACACCAGCAGCTCTTTTAGTTTTTAATGGAGATGACCCCTGCCATGAGCTAGGAAGGGGGCTGCATACCCCATGCCCTTGCCCTGTGGCTGTTAGAGCCCACAGCATTTCCAGGGCACTGCACACCCCTGAACTGACACATCTTGTACAGCTTTTACCACCCTGCTGTAACCTTATAGGGTGCTCTCCCCTGCTGACTCTCAAACCCCTTTTTCCCCCACCTCTCTGCCAATTTACCCTGCTAGAAATAGATCCAGAAGACACACAGGCTAAATTTCTATTGTAATTTTACTAATTAATACATGAAATGCTCTTCCCAGGGACACACCCACATGAAGCCACCAGCTCGCTTGCTTTTCAGTACAGGTGCACTTGCGCTGCCGTTCATCTATGCTATCATTTTAAAAATAATGGAAAGAAAAGAAGTGAAAAGGGCACCAGAGAGCAGAAAGTACACGGCGTCTGCAGCAGCAGCAGGCTGCAGTGAGGAAATCATTCCTCGGATTCCTGTCAATAAAGGAGCTGAGACAGACATTTACCACACACCAGCATCCTTGCAGCCAGTCTGAGCCCCCTGGCTTTCCCTTTCTCCTCCTTTCACAGGGCTCGCACGCGTTTATACAAGAATTACCCTTCAGAGATGAGCAGACTCACCACGAAGCTGGGGTTATCTAGCCCGTTGAGTTCTTTGTCTGAGGAGAGGGTCATGCCTTCCACTTGCCTTCACCGACTGCCTTGAAAAAGAAAGACCGGTAAGAAGAGGAAAGCCTCCCAAATTGCCACTGGTCCCAGTCAACACAGCCCTAAAGAAACAGGGTGAGAAGATGCAGAAGCTGGAGTTCAGGAGTCAACCAGCTCTCGGTCCTAGCTATTCATGTGAGCCGTATCACAGAAGCGTTTCTTTCCCCTTGGCTTATATAAGTGACTCCTTCTCTCCAGCTGATTAGAGGACCGGCATTCAAACCAAACTAGAAAGCAGCCCTTCCCTGGACTGAGTGAATCAGTAACTGACGGCAGAAGACATTTCCTCCGTAGGTAAGGATGTGAAGGGGTATCAGAGAGGCGAGACATTTCCCTGTTTTCCTGGCACAGCCTTGAAACTTGTTGCTTCATTGTTGATTGATCAGTAACTCGTATTTTCTGTGTGGGTAGGGCCTGTTTGAAGAGCTGTGCTGATCTTTAGAAAATTCACTTTCTGGATGGTTTCACTTATTCCGTGTGTAAACTGCTGTGTATTTTGGCTTAGGTACAAACGTCATCATCTTGAATGATAATCCTATTACAGCATGAAAAGAATGAGGATTTTACTGGGAACCTATTTTAGGCAGCAACCAATAATCAAGTCATCAGAACATGACACCAGGGAAGTATAAAAGACATAAGATTGAAAAAGGACTTCTTCAGGCCATCTGATTATCTCCACTCAGCTAAGGATCCTAGCTGAATGGTGATCATCAAATGGCCTGAAGCATAGTTACCCTTCTCTTAATAAGTAGCAAACGGTGTTAATGCTCCATCAAGCCATTTTAGCCACCCCACTCCAGCCCTCCTCAGGTTAACTATCTATTTAATTTATTTAATGGCTTCCTGAGGCGGTGAACTTCCCAGACCAGCTGCAGAGAGCTCCTGCGTGAAGAGGCACATGCTATCGTCTACACACAGTGACCACCCCTTGGGAACATCTAGTTTCCACACAGGAATCAAGTGTGACAGAAATAAAATCTGGTCTCTACTTCTCCTGTAGAATTTTGATATTCTCAGATCTTCAGATCAGGACTGCATTACAGGGCAAGACAACTTTACCCTCAACACCATCAGCGAAGCTATGAGCTTCACTTTTGGGATGGCCAAATCTCAAGGCATCCAAATCTCCAGATGTACACGGTTTTGCCAGATCTCCTCTCTGAAGGGATCTCCCTACATTTTTACTGCAGGGGGTGCATTTCCAGCCCCATTGGTCTTGGCATGAGGCTGCTTTTTTCTGTAAGCTCTAAATGAGAACTCTTTCCCTGGTCAAACTACCCTGGCCACTTTCACCCTCAACTTTACCAATTCCCAGTGTAGAGGGACCAGCACAAACCCCCCTTGTTGTATAGACTTACTCATCTCTGGTTATCCAGTGCACTGAAGGATTGCAGTTTGTTGCATATTTAGCATTTCATTGTATATATCAGCAGAGTCCATTAAGTAATAACAGTGAGGATGCACCATTCCAAGGCTCTCAGAAAGGAGCTTTGCACTCCTGCAGGTGGGAACACGTGAGAGGGGTGCTTTTGCAAAGGGGGTACTTACAAGGTTCAAAGAGGCACAGGAGAAGGTAGGGGGAGATCCCACCATGGCTCAGCAAAGCTTTACCCCTGAGTGGATGCTCATCAGCCGGCAGGGAAATCTGACTGCAGCTGCGAGAAACCTTTAGGCCAGCTTTGAAAGCCGTCAGCCGAGCTTTGCCTTGCAGGCTGCTGTGGTGGAGGAGCAGGTCTTGGAGGAGTTCACCCACAGGTGATTCCACCAGGAAGGGGGGACCCCCCAGCCAAGATGCTGGAGCTAGAAGAGCTGCAGCCCCTCGGCCACATTGGCTCCTCTGCTACCTCCTGCTTCCTTCTTGCCTTCCCTGGAAGGAAAGGGACCGCCGAGCTGTGTCATGGGCACGCTCCTCGCCTGAGCCCAGGGTCATCCCCTGCCTCTGCCTGCACAGCCCAGTGCCCGGCTCCCCGGCTCTGCGCAGACAGCTGCCACCAGAGAGCAGGGTGCAGGGAATGGTGTTGAAATCCGCCCCCCAGCAGGATATTGATTTTGCAGTAATAAGCTCCTTTATCTCCCTCGGGCCCTGGAATAGCTTTTAAGAGCATTAGCAAAGGAATAATCCGTGTCATCTACCGGGCATTTTGAGCACAAGCTCAAGTGTGGTTATTGTGTCCCCGAGCTTTTGCTGAGCCCATTCATTCCCCAGCACATGTGACAAGACTTAGCACTGCCGGCCCCGTGCTGGAGGCCACGCTTGCGGCACGTGCTTGGCGCCCAGCTGTTTAGCAGCAGGACACATCTGGCAGCAGGGAGAGGGCAGAAGGCACTGCCCTTGGCTTTTCCCACCGCCCCCCAGCCATCGGTGGCGGTGGGGCCACCTCGTGAGCCACAGCAGGAGAAGGCACACACAGCACTGGGCTCCGGCTCGGCGGAGGGGCCAGTTCGGGGCTGGTCCTGTCCGACAAGCCGGGTGCATCCTCAGCTCCCAGCCACCTGGAGATGACAGTGTCTGCATCCCAGGGCATGCCCTGAGGCTGGCTCCTCTGCTGTCAGTGTTACGCTCTCACACTGCCCAGCCTGCCCCAAACCTCACCTTCACTGCACAAAAAACCAGCAAAATCCCCTCAGTCAGAAGGGGCAAAGAAAGAACAAAACAAAAAAACCCCAAGAAACCAGCAATATTCGCTGAGCCAGGGGGGTGTCCCCCCCTTCCCCAGCCCGCTCTCCAAGGGGAGCTGAGGAAAGCTCATACTTTAAGAAGGATTATCCAGGAAAGAGAAGAAATTAAAGCAGTTTTTGAGCAAGATCATTATGAGTCATGGGAGGCTGAAACAGGTTTTCCTGAGAGAGAAAGTAAATCCTCTGGAGAGAAGCCCAGAGAGTTACCAGCATGGCCAAAACCAAAAGGGAGTGTCTGAGAGACAGATAGACTGACAGAGTAGGATTAAGGTGTTCCCAGGTCCAAAGGTCCATGGAAGTGACAGGACATCCCTCTGTGAGTGCAAGGGAGGCTAGACCACTGCTGAGCCACGCTGGGTGTGAGCAAGAGGGGATCCCAGTGCTGGGGAGGAACCGCAAGCAAGGTCCAGCCACCACCCAGCCCCACAGCTCTCCTCCTTGCCACAAACCCCCTTGGCTGCATCCCCCAGGGTGGGATGGGACTGGACAGGGGTTAGAGTCCATCTGACATTTTCCTTTCCCCTTCATGCACTGCAGTAAATCACACAAAGAGCGTAAGACCACTGCTTGGTTTCACAAACAGGAGCTGCCCACACATCCAAGGCAACCCCCCCCAGATCCACTTGGGCAGCCATGCCCAGCCATGCACAGTGGCTGCAGCTACAGGCCACACATATAAAAGAAAGGCAAACAAAACCAGACCCATAGAGCCCAGTTCCACCTCCCTGCCAAGCAGTAAGAACTTGCAATGTCCTCATACCCAGCTGCTGAGGCCACTGTATTTGTGCCAATGCTATTAGTGAACAGTGGCTTGGGCTTTCCCCCTTATACCTGCAGTAAGTCCCAGGTTGCCCCAGGACAGGCAAGAATGCAGGACAGAAGGGGCAAAGGAGACCCACAGGATGAGGTGAGCTCCAGGGTGTGCAAAGAGAGAAGATGACAGCCACAGCAGGGGATGATCCAAAAAAACCCTGCAAAGCCCTGCTGTTAGCACAGCTGGTCTACTGGCTGCTGGGGAAAGCCTCAGCACAGAGGCATCACCTGTGCCAAAACCTTGTCACCTCTTCCTGGATGTGCAGAAGGGGTCAGGCAGGTAGGAATGGGTAAGAACAACCCGCATCCCAGGAGACAAGAGCTACTGCAGCCCTGCCAGCTATAAAACATCAGGACCTGAAGCGACAGGCAGAGAGATGCTGCGCAGAGGGAACCCCAAGGAAAAGGGGAAAACAAATTCCTCTGGTTCCCGCAGCAGCGAAGCTGGTGGAGCTGCTGCTACAAAACTCTTTTGATTCCCGTGGCACATATCCCGCCCCACTGCTGTTTGCAGAAAATTAGCCCTGGGCTCTGGTGGGAAAGAAGACACGAGCGTGTGAGGGTCTGCAGCCCCGGAGTCTCCGCAGAGAGCTCGAGCGTGGATTTTGGCAGGTAGAAGAGGAGGAGGAGGAGGGGGGTGCCTGAAGTGCAGCTCCAGCACCCGGAGAGATGGTGACAGCCAGTCCCTGCAGGAGGGAGCTGTAGAAGATGGATCCCGAGCGCTTGCTGCTTCTCCCTGCCTCTCCCACGCCTGGTGTCTCCGCGGGGCTTTGGAGGCGCTGAGCCGAGCGGCCAGAGCGGGGCTGGCAGTGCTGGGAGCAGGGACACGGGGTCTGTGCCGAGGAGAAGAAAAGCCCCAGGGGGAGAGCGGCTGGTAGCTTTGCTGCTCAGGGCTTAACGCCCTAAGAGCCCAGCTGACTCCTGCTCAGAAGCAAAGGGAAACTGCAGGCACTCGGGACGGCCGGGCACCCGACCATGCTGTGTTTCCCCAAACCATGACGGGACAAAGGTTTGGGAAATGCGCCGCTCTCTGCCTGCTGCCCTGGAGCTGCCTGAGCTTTGCCTGGAGTGATGCCGCTGGGCCCGGGACCGCCTCACCTGGGGCAGGACACGGCAGAAAGGGGCTGCCCAGAGACGTTGCCAATGGGACCTACCTGCACAGCAACATCTCAGGTACTCGAGTGAGCGATCACCCACCTCTCCCTCTGTGGGACTCCTCGGGGCCCCACCGTGCAGGTGCCTGGTGTGAAGGATGTGGGGATGGGATGATGATAGCGTGAGGGTGTTTCTCCCTGTGGCTGTGAAGGCACACCTAGGGCACATGCAGGAGCTGCAAGTCTTTCTGTGGTCCTCATGGCCACAGCAGCTTCTGTGCTCTGGGAGAGATGTGTCCTATCAGAGGCAAAGTCTAAGGGACAGGGAGGAAATTTAATGTTTGGCTGTCTTTAAGAGTAAAGTTCTCCTCCATGTTCATCTCTATGTGTATCTCAATGGACCAGGGGACAGGTTTGCTGAACACATCCCTGTCCCCAAGGTCAGCGTGGACCCTTGGGATGGAGATCTTTTAAAAGCACAAATAATCTCCAAATGCTGAGGGTGATTTTTTTTCTTCTTTTTTTTAAATCTACTTCCTAGAGCAGAGCATGTGCTATTCCCCAGCAAGTGGAACACAGCATCAGGGCTGACATGGGGTGACCACCCACCTGGTGCAGGCAGCCTGCCCACCTCCATATGTGGGCAGCAGTG